GCTTCTACATGTACATGCCTTAAAGTTGGAAAGGTTTAGTTAATTAAACCTTTTTCCAACTTTAACTCCTGGAAAGCACCATATAATTCTGGTGTTCTGATTATAGGGGTTCCACCGTATAATCATCTACACGCGAGTTTGACAAAGCCACTATTAAAACTCATGATATTGATTATGAATCTGATGCATGTGTGATAAGTGGACTAGGAGTCTTGAGCTACAAAGTCATCTGGAACCGGGATGAATATGGAGTGTCTTTGCCTCCGATCTACTGATCTGGAGTAATGTCCCTTTCCTGAGACTGAGAGGTGGAAAAGGTAGAGAGGAGAGAGATAACTGCCATAGCCGACTTTCTCACATAGAGAGCGGATAACTTTCTACTACATACTGCTGGACCACCGATGAAGGCTGCTCCACTATGCTGCCGGCATCAGAGAATATGTTTTTACGTGGCGTCCAAAAGAGTAGCTGCAATTGTCTTGCGGGATCTAAGGAATGCGACTGTTATACAACTTGTTGGCAAACGTATAAAGGGCCACTATAATTAGTGTGAAATTCCATTCTTCCCACGGGGGCTTGCTAGGCTTCAGATCCCGCAAGGTGCTGCGTCTATAAAAGAGCGCCAGTGTCCACTCCTTCGAACCTCTCACTTCCGGCGAAACCCTTTGATCTACCGCCGCCGACGCCCACGCGATGACTTCCCGCCACGCCATCGGGAAGGCCCTCTCTTCCTCATTCGAGCAACGCAGCTCTTCCAGCAGTACTAGTCTTCGTATTACACCTTCTCGACAGGTGAGTTTTGAAAACTCCAACCCGCAGACTAAGTAGGGACACGTTTTATACGTTATACTGACAAAAAAACGGCGCAAAGTCCCGTCTGCGCGCAGAAAGCGCCGCCATTTTCTTCGAGCGTGATCACTCCAATTGAAGCCCACCCTACCTTTTGCCTTCTCTTTGCTGTTTTCCGCAGACACCTCCGACAGCAATGGCGCAGCAGCAAGAAGTCCTGGACACCTCACTGTCGGCGACAGAGCCGTCGCCCATGAGGAAGAAGCGTATCGAAGAGAAAGAGGAGCTTGCCCACCTGAACGACCGGTTCCTGGAGTACATCCAGCAAGTTCGGAGGATGAAGGATGTCAACATACACCTGGAGACGGAGCTGCATACGGTGCGGGAGCAGCTGGGGAAGGAAGCCGAGTCGGTGAAACAGCTCTACGAGGCGGAGCTGTCCGACGCGCGGACGCTGATCGACGAGACGGCGAAGGAGAAGGCGCGCCAGCAGATCCTCAACAGCAAGAGCGTCGCCCGTATCGACGAGCTAGAGGCAGAGTAAGCCCAGGGGGACACGCACAGAAACACAGACAGAGCTAGATGCCTTAGTACGGTGTTATGTAGGACCCACGTCGGGTTAGTTTCAAGCTTTCTAGCTCAGCTGTAGCTGAGCGCCCTACCAAGAATATTAGTGGATTCTGCATATTATACCAGTGAAGTATAGCCTTGACCTATGTTAGTACATAAGTAAGAGGAAAGAAAAGGTTGGGGGCGGAAAGGGTTGGGAGGTAATGAAAAAGAGAGGGAAGTGAGTGAAAAGAGAGGGAGATTGGGGAGCTGGGGCAAGGAAAAGTGAGAGGGAGACCAGAAGATGCTGGCCAAACTATGGTTCCATTGATGTGGTGGTGGGTGAAATGATGGCAGCTGTCTCTGCTGTGTCTGCCCCACCTCCAGTCTCATTTGGCTCCCAGTCAACACCTCAGAGCCACACATGGCACTGTTTTCACCTCCAGCCAGCCCCCATTCCCACCTCCTGTTGGACCCCAAACACTACCTCTCTCTCTCCTATCCTGTCTCCCACAATCTGGGAGATCCCTAGTTTGGCTTGCCTGAATCCCTCACTGTTTGTATAGGGAGAGCTGTGTTGACTTTCACAATGGTTGCTAGTATTTTTTGCCAGCCTGTGTATACCACATGATGGCTTTGATCGCAATCTTGAAATATACCAAAAACGAGCAATCTCAACATTTTTTTAATGTGCTTTGGTGAAGATTTTACAGATTCTAGTGCATGCTCTGACCATGATTTGAGGTTTTTGCCAGCCTGTCTAGTCTGATAGCTGTGTATTGTACATTTGTGTGTGCTTTGGTTAGGAATTGACAGTTGTTCATGAAATGTATAGAGATGTGTAGATAGATAGAGAAATAAATAAAAACCACCACCTTATTTAGCTACACAAACTTCAAAACACCATACAAAACACACATGCATAAGTATCTCTAACACATTCCCCTCCCCTCTCACTCAGACTGAAGGCAGTGCAGGGCAGACTAGATGGACTGGAGGCTCAGCTGGCAGCTGCCGAGAGAGCAGCTGCTTCCAGTGAGGCCCAGAGAAGAGCCATGGCGGACGAGAAAAACAGGTTCCAGAAACAGGCCAAGGTAGGCAGGGAGGGAGAGCAGATCTATCACTACCACTATCATGCATGCATGACTTTCCTGGTACACAAAATGCTGAAGGTTTGGATCATAAGAATGCATCCACATGTTTCGAAGGATGTTTCTGAAGAAATCGGGCTCCCCCAGTTTTTTTCCTTGGAATTCTGAATTTCAACTGTTTGTGATGTGGTGGGGGTATATACCTTATGACTACTCCAGTACTCTCTGTAAGCATTTGTAAGATTTCCTATATACAATACTCCATTGAGTCCCACACATACATATGTACAAACATTAATGTGGAACTTTGCTGAATGGCTGTGTACTTGATTTGCTACTGCAACAACCACTGTGTTTTACAACTTAGAACACAAGACTGAGACATTTGGAAACCGATGACCCCTCATACATCATCTGTTTGCTTCTCCCTCTCTCCCTCCCTCTCTCCTTGTGCAACCAACCCACCCACCCAGGACCTAGAGCATGATGTGGCGGAGCTCCAAGCCCAGATTGTCTCCCTGAGAGAGAGCATGGAGGCAGAGACACTGAGCAAGGTGGACCTCCAGAACAACATCCAGAGCCTCAGAGAGGAGCTGGCCTTCCGCAAGAAGATCTATGAAGAGGTACGTCTACACAGGAGGGTTACTGTTTGGAATGTTGGCTCGGTGACTGTAAATGTAGAGTACAATAACAGGGAGGGACTCTCGGAATGAATGTGAGTAAAGGGGTTTTAGGGCAAATCTACTCATTGATTCCCACTCAAGATAAGCTTATTAACCCTCTGCACGCATGCGCAGCGAGGGTTACGGTAGTAGTTGTGTGAGTGTCTGTCTGTCTGTCCGCAAGCTATCTCAGTTCACGAGCAATCAATCGCTCCACAAACGATACCACGTATTCATCGTCGGGTATAGGTCTACATGTGTATGTAAGGTTTTCTCTGAAACTGCTGCGTTCGAGAGTTACGGCATGAAACACGAGCGAAAAAGCCAATATGCTAATTAGAACACGCTTACCTCAAGCGGGTTCGCTTACTCTGTCTATCTTGAAGGCACAAGAAGTCACAACGAAGGGCATGTATCGACTCCCGCATGCTATCTACTACTGTAGCTAGCCCGTGTCAGACTCTCCGCGAGCTACTAGTAGGAGACCACGAGTAAATGCATGGTAATAGTCCAGCCCATCAATTAGCGGTACCGCGCATGCGCAATTCGCCGAGGGTTTGCACTGTAGTGCTTTTTTATTGAGTCGGCACAAGAATAGTCCAGGGTATATACCCTTACCCTGTGTAGAAGAAGTGTTCCATGCACAAGACTAGCTATAATGTCTCCCCCCCTCCTGCAGGAGTTGGCCAGTCTCCACTCCAAGCTGGAGAAGACGACCGTAGAGAGTGTGGACCTCGGTCACCTCCTGGACTCCAGACTGGAGGCCGCCATCGAGGAACTGAGGGACAAGAGTGAGACCGAGATTGCCCAGTACAAACTGGAGGTGGAGGCCACTTACAAAGACAAGGTGCGATCCTCTCTCTCTCTCTCTTCCTGATTCATTTGCTGTGTGCTGTCTTTCTCTCTCACTGACAACTTTTTTTGCCATTGTGGCAAGCGCCTGCAGTTTAACATGAAATAAGGTGTGCATCAATTAGAGTTTGCTAGCTATAGTTCCAATATGTGTGTAATTTCTCTACTATGTGTAGTTCTCATGAACACACAGTGAGTGTGTTCAACCCTTGATACTACACTGTTATGACATCATTATGATGTAATCGTCCCCCATGTAGATAGCGATACTGGAGGGCCAGTCGAAGAAGGACGTAACGGCCATTTCCAGGATCAACACGGAGCTGCACAGGATGATGTCCTCTCTCGGGGACTCCAGCAGTGAGATCTCCCGTCTCCAGAAGTCTGTGAGTGTCTTTAGAAACAAGGACGTGTGTAGGGCTAGTGTGACATTGAACGTGGCCTACACATTTTGACAGCTCTAGTGATATTCCAGCTGAGGTGATGACGTGTTCTTTGGTACACTATTCAGAATGTAGTTTGTGTGTACAGCTGTAACCGTATGCTTTGAGGATTAGCAAGAAAGTATTAGGATAAGCTGTCCCAGTGTGTTGGAGGTGCTACATTTGTCATTCCTGAAAGAAAAGGCACAAAAATTCACTCTTATGATGTATTTTGTGTGCATGCATGGGCCTGTTGTTTATTTTTAACCCCTTTCTCCCTCACTAGAACGAGAAGATGGCAAGTATACTGAGGTCCAAGGAGGAGGAGCTGGTGTCTGCCCGCCAGAGCCACACAGAGGAGGTGTCCAAACTGGTAGCTGAGCTGCGAGGTCTCCGGGAGAGCTACGAGACCAAGATCAGGGAGTACGAGGAGCTGATGGACATCCGTATTCAGCTGGACCAGGAGATTGCCACGTACCAAGCCCTCCTGCACGAGGAGGAGACCAGGTTAGGGTCGTAGTTAGACTCTGCATTCTGATTGGTCAGTTCAAATCTGGCACCATCTAACTATTATACGTACGTATATGCGTAAAAGCCGTGAACACAAAGCATATTGCAGGCCTGTTCTTGTGCTGCAGACGGTAAAAGCCGTGAACACAAAGCATATTGCAGGCCTGTTCTTGTGCTGCAGACTGGTATAAGCCGTGAACACAAAGCATATTGTAGGCCTGTTCTTGTGCTGCAGACGGTATAAGCCGTGAAAACAAAGCATATTGCAGGCCTGTTCTTGTGCTGCAGACTGGTATAAGACGTGAAAACAAAGCATATTGTAGGCCTGTTCTTGTGCTGCAGACGGTATAAGCCGTGGACACAAAGCATATTGCAGGCCTGTTCTTGTGCTGCAGACGGTATAAGCCGTGAACACAAAGCATATTGCAGGCCTGTTCTTGTGCTGCAGACGGTAAAAGCCGTGAACACAAAGCATATTGCAGGCCTGTTCTTGTGCTGCAGACTGGTATAAGCCGTGAACACAAAGCATATTGTAGGCCTGTTCTTGTGCTGCAGACGGTATAAGACGTGAACACAAAGCATATTGTAGGCCTGTTCTTGTGCTGCAGACTGGTAAAAGCCGTGAACACAAAGCATATTGTAGGCCTGTTCTTGTGCTGCAGACGGTATAAGCCGTGAAAACAAAGCATATTGCAGGCCTGTTCTTGTGCTGCAGACTGGTATAAGACGTGAAAACAAAGCATATTGTAGGCCTGTTCTTGTGCTGCAGACGGTATAAGCCGTGGACACAAAGCATATTGCAGGCCTGTTCTTGTGCTGCAGACGGTATAAGCCGTGAACACAAAGCATATTGCAGGCCTGTTCTTGTGCTGCAGACGGTATCAGTGTCGTAAAAGCCGTGAACACAAAGCATATTGTAGGCCTGTTCTTGTGCTGCAGACGGTATAAGCCGTGAACACAAAGCATATTGTAGGCCTGTTCTTGTGCTGCAGACGGTATCAGTGTCGTAAAAGCCGTGAACACAAAGCATATTGCAGGCCTGTTCTTGTGCTGCAGACGGTATAAGCCGTGAACACAAAGCATATTGTAGGCCTGTTCTTGTGCTGCAGACGGTATAAGCCGTGAAAACAAAGCATATTGCAGGCCTGTTCTTGTGCTGCAGACGGTATAAGACGTGAACACAAAGCATATTGTAGGCCTGTTCTTGTGCTGCAGACGGTATAAGACGTGAACACAAAGCATATTGTAGGCCTGTTCTTGTGCTGCAGACGGTATAAGCCGTGAACACAAAGCATATTGCAGGCCTGTTCTTGTGCTGCAGACGGTATAAGCCGTGAACACAAAGCATATTGCAGGCCTGTTCTTGTGCTGCAGACGGTATAAGCCGTGAACACAAAGCATATTGTAGGCCTGTTCTTGTGCTGCAGACGGTATAAGCCGTGAACACAAAGCATATTGCAGGCCTGTTCTTGTGCTGCAGACGGTATAAGCCGTGAACACAAAGCATATTGTAGGCCTGTTCTTGTGCTGCAGACGGTATAAGCCGTGAACACAAAGCATATTGCAGGCCTGTTCTTGTGCTGCAGACGGTATAAGTGTCGTAAGTAGTAAACTTATCAGACGTGAATTGAAACAACTATCCCTCCCTCCCTCCCATGACCAGGCTGCACATCACGGTGACTCCACCGAGGGAGAAGAGGCGGAGCCTGAGGGTCCCCATGTCCGAGCCGGTCCCCAAGAGGCCACGCCTCCACCAGCAGCAGCAGGGGAGCAGTCCTTCACCACCACTTCCTCCGCGGGGTTCATACAGATCTGTGACGTGGATCCATCGGGGAAGTTTGTGCGGATCAAGAACATGTCCGCACAGGTGAGGAATGAGGCAGTCACCGTAGTCTGTTTGACTGATGTCCAGGGCTGTGGAGTAGCTCAGTCTGTGAATATGTGCTGTGCAGCACTTTAAAATGAAACGGTGTTGGTGTAATTGCTCCACTTAAGGATACATGGAAGTTATGTGGATAGGCCAGGGCAATACTGTAATTCTACATAAGATACAGAGATATTTGTGCCATACGACACAGACAGAGTTAAGTCCACTGTTGGTTTACTGCACTATTGTAAATCTGTCCTTTCCAGTTCACTTGTTTCCCTGAAATTAAGGGTTGTGAGTGAATGGAAATATGAGACATTCTCAGAGCGTCTGCTTCTCTGTGAAACTAGTTCTGTTTCTGTGGTACACACAATGATGTAATCATTATTTCCGTGTGTGTGTGTGTGTAGATTGAGAGTCTGGGGAAGTTCAAGATCCAACACGAGGTGGAGGGGAGCAGCGAAGTCGTGTTCCGGTTCCACGCCAAGTCCAAGCTCCAGGGAGGACACTCTGTCACTGTGAGCAGCTGGCTTGGCCCAATCTCAGTCCATTCTCTCTCCTCTTTTTCACTCACTTTGTACGTAATCGTTTCCATTCTGTGTTCTCCGGTCTGGCAGGTGTGGGGCTCCAAGGCCGAGGGGGCTGTCCACTCTCCCCCCGACAACATCATATGGAAGGCAGTGGAGAACTGGGGGTGCGGGGCGCCTGGAGAGAAGACAGTCACTAAATTAGTGGCTCCCAGCGGAGATGTGAGTCCCTCTATCCGTTGTACGTTAGAGAAAGGTTTTTATCCCCTCTCCCCCCTCCCTCCCTCCCTGCCGCAGGTTGTGGCGACCTTCTCCCAGAGGAGCGAAGTGAAGATCACTCCGGTGAAGAGCAAGCAGCAGGTGTCTGGCTCTCCCTCCAGCCTGGCTGACGCGGGGTCCCTCTCCTACCCCAGTCTCCCCGAGTCAGGTGAGGATCCCCTCCCCTCTTCCTCCTCCTCCTCCACCACCCAGCGCCCACCAGGCTCCGTCCAGAGGGTTGGAGATGAACACATGTTTCACCAAAAGGTTATTCCACACGGCCGCTTTAGTTCCCTCCTCCCCTCTTACCTTCGTGTTTTGGTCCTTTGTGTGACTAGTCTAGCCCAACAGACACGGCACAACTTGGTACACGTGCGACAAAATCTCATGCATCTTCAATGTATGGCCAATGTAACTGGCACGAATAGCTGATTTGGGTACAACGGGTTCATCTAACAAGTTGCGTGAACAATAGGTGTTGTCTATTACAGTGGAGTCTCAGTATACTGAATTGCTGGGGACCTAAATGAATTTGCTCACAGTAAGGAGGATTTGTCACAAGTGTGGTGAAAATGTACAGTGTTCTATAGGGCAAGGCTCCGAGGGTGTGTTTGTGGTATCCAGAACTTCGTACTATATAAGTGAAGGGCTCAGAACCAGAATGGTCTAACACATGGAAGTTCCTTTATACCCCACTTGACGTGAAATTTCCATGAAAATGCATTTTGGAAGGAGACAATCTTTTGCAAAATCCCATAATCTCACTTTTTTTCAGATACATACCCCCGTATATTTCCTCTTTTTTAGGCAATTTTCCAGGCCACTGTGGTTCTCGGTATTCGTTCTTTGTAATGAGACTCAACTGTAATCATACATCCATATGTTGACGTTACATGAGACTTTTGTCTGAGTAGCAAAGTTGTGCGGTGTATGTTTGCCCTCACACACACACACTGTGACTTGTAGTGTCTGTGTCAGTGTCTTGCTGGCTGTGTGTCTCCTTGAGGCCTGTACGGTGGTGTGTGTGTGTGTGTGTCTGTCTTGTCCGTGTCTGGAGACCAGCGCGTACTGCAGAGTCTTGCTCAGTGGCTTCCCAGTCAGAGCTGGTCCTCTTCGTCCCTGCAACCCACCTCTGTTCTCGTCTTGTCTCTTGTTCTTGTCTCAGATATCTTGTCTTGCCTCCCTGTCGACACTAGTTAGTGTGTTGAATTAATGATTTGTTGCTGTCAGCTCCTCTTTTTCTCCTCACCCCTCTGCCTTCTCATCTTCTCTCCCCTTCCCCTCTCTTCTCCTCTTCCCCTCTCTTCTCCTCTCCCCCCTCCAGGGTGATCCCAGGTCCTCCAAGAGCTGCAGGGCCTCCTAAGCTCCACAATAACCAATAGCAATTGACTCTCTAGTGACAACATCTATTATTCCTAGCAGTAACATTACTCATACAGGTGGCCACTGGCAGTAGAGCTGTGGCTATTTCTCCAACTACTGGCTGGAGGTTTGCATGGATCCTAGTTTTTTTCCTAAGATACTGTAATTTGCTCTTCTTTTGCTGACTTTGCTGTAACATTTATTGCATTCCCCCCTCCCTGTCTTTCCAAAAGGGTGGAGATTTATTTTTCTCAATTACTGTGGAATAATGACGCAGGCTATAACAATTGCATCGTCAAAAGTTGATTGTATAAAAATAGACGTGATTACAATGATGACATCAGGTGTGTCTATATTTAGTAATCCAGGTGGGGTGGTCTTTATTTAGTTGCTATGATGTCATCCAGGGGAGGTGGTCCAGGTTCATGTTCCCACCACACAAGACCACACCCACTTTCAGTTGCCCCAGTGACCCCACAACCTCTCCAAACTGTGGACTCAGCACCGCTGCCACGGCAACGGCTGCTGAGGGCTCTATCACTAGTTTCAATCTCTCCCACACCTTATAATATGGACAGATGGAAGGAATGGTCACGTAGCCAGCATGAAAAAAAAACTCATTTTTGGAGATATAAAAACACTCGTAAACAAAAAAAATCTCCAAATATTCTACGGGACGATGGGACCAAATCGAGCAATTTCTCGCAAATATTTCACTCCAGAATTCTTTCAAACGAGTGATAAGTAATTCTTACACTTTTGGTCAGTTTTTTTTTACACTCCATTCGGCTTACCAACTTGTTGGTTGAGATGATTTCGTGTTCTGAGACAGTGACGACTCCGGTCAGATTGGTCAGCAGCACTGGCCACACAATGTCTCCCACACTCATCCTGGACAAAAAACAGAACAAGAATACTCCACACTTATTTCTATCTAATGTCTTGTTCCACTTTGAAAGGATGAGAATTAGTACAAGGAAGAACAGCGAGATACAGTGGATAAATGGACAGCTTTCTGCGCAAAAAAACTGGTTCTGTGGGGTTCACAAGAGGTCGATCACCTGAGAGCATCGGCCACAGTGGTTGGAGGAGACTCATTGACAATCCTTCTCCCGGCTGCAAAAGATCGAGCAATATCGTCGGCATTCTTCGGCTCAGCGGCTACCACCTTTATGACAGGCCTGATGCTCTGTGAGGAGACAGACAGTGTGACACTGCCTATGGTTCATTGGCAATACACAATTATTTCATCTCTGTACATTGGTATTGGTGGGGTTAACCTTGGCAGCCACACTGATGCCAGCCAGCATTCCGCCAACACTGACACTCCCCACTATCACATCCAGATCTGGGACCTTGGGGAGAGGGGGAGGGGGTGATTCATAAGAGACTCAAAACTGATTCACAATCCATCGGGTCACAGACTTATTAACTCTCTATCTACTGAATTATTCCACATGCCTGAGCGAGGAACTCGGTAGCAATGGTTCCCTGGCCTGCCATGATGTCGGGGTGGTTGGAAGATGGAACTAGCACAGCCGATGGTCCTAGTCTCTCCATCACCTCCTCACATGTCCTCACCCTCGCCTTCAGCGGAGACAACAGAGGAGAGAGTACTGTAACAGGGGAGCTGATACGAAGTCCTGATGTAAAACACACAGATCTAATATGGACACTTTCTTCTGTCCCAATAAAGGACCTTCCGAGATAGTGACGACCTCTCTACAAAGGAACACTTGTTTCAACCCCATGCTAATACTTTAGTGTATTATTTGACCTCCGAGATAGGGACGACCTCTCTACAAGGGACAAAATAATTGTCCCCACAATGTCCCCTGTTCAGAGGTTCCACTCTATATGGAGCTCACCTGCTCAGTGTTCTCACAGAAGATGATAGTTCCTCCATACTCCCTCACAGCAGCTGCCTTCATTTCAGGGGCACCCTCGGGCATAACGATGTGGGCGGAGACTCCCCGTTGCCGGGCGGCGAGAGCCAACGCCTGGGCGTGGTTCCCGCTGCTGTGTGTGACGACAGCCGCCCCAGTCAGGTCGGAGCCGGGCGGGAACCTCTTCCTGATCATATTAGTTGCCCCTCTAATCTGTGTGGAGATGAGAAGTACAGGAAGTCAGTGGTTGCAATATTACGTGTCCTCCATTCTCTAGAACAGCTGGTTCATTGTTGTGAGAGGAAAGTGAGGTTGAACACGTATTGGCTCTGACCTTGAAAGAGCCTGTCTTCTGGAAGAGTTCACATTTGAAGAACAGACGATGGCCAGAGAGAGAGTCCAGTTTAGAGCTAGTCAAGACGGGAGTTTTGTGGATATGGCTTTTGATCCTCTCCTCCGCCTCTCTCACGTCCTCCATCGTCAGTGGCAACTGCTGGCACTGTGAGGAGGACTGAGCCATCCTTCTCACGTGACCCCTGAGAGAGAAAGTGCATTCACTTACAGCACACTGTTTTGTGCTCAGAGTGATCGTCGTGGCTAAAGGTATGCAGCTATACGTACCTACGTACCTCAGCAGTGTAGCAACCCACGATCTCTGCGATATTGAGAAATGCAGTCTCATACTACGCTCCGCTGTTTGTGGAGAGTTCGTCTCACCCTCCGGACCAACGCCTACATTGTTTGCGCATGCGCACTAGAATCATGTCCGCTGCGGTACAAATGTGTTGTTCTGCTAAGAGCCTAAGATCCAGGAGTGAGGAGAATCTTGCACCCCTCACCACTCATGAGGACACGGAATGCCTGCAAATGGAGAGAAGAGAGCAGGAAACATGATCAGTCACCATGGTGACCAACAAACATACCTCCTCAAACTGGGAGAGAGGGAAGTCATGGGTCACCAGTGGCTCCATGTTAAACCTGCAGAGAGAGTGAGAGAGAGAGAGAGTTTGCTATACACCTATATATATATAGTCTCCCTTCCAATGCTCTCCCTTAACACACTATCCTAATTTGAGACCAGCAATGAGTGGCTAAAGAAGAATGCTCACTTGTTCTGATGCACGATCCTCTCCACCTCAGACCAGGTGTGGAATATCTTTCGGCCGTGGACTGTCTTTAGTGTCAGAGACTTGAATATCACGTCCTCCAGTGGCCGCTCTATGTGGATGGGCTCCTGCACAATTCACAACAGAACTCTTGCACAGAATGCAACTCTAATTTCTGTCTCACAGGTATATACACTATAACTAGGCTGCTGCTCTATTAGCAAACAGTGCAGAACACATGCCAAATAAAAAATCTTCACACACAATTTCCCACTGAAGTAAAAACCTTTGGTAGTCCAATCAGAACAACTCGGCCACCTTTCCTGCAATAAAAGTTGACACATTTGAGGAGACTGAAGGTGGTAGGGAGAAGAGGGAGAGAGAGATGGAGGGAGAGAAGAGCAGGGAAAGGTGACCTGAGTAGAGAGAAGCAGCTGTTGACCATGGAGGCAGCTCCAGTGGCTTCCACCAGTCTGCCAACTCCATCTCCCTCTGTCTCCCTCATCACTGTGACAGTGGGTGTACGTGTGAAGGCTCTGTAATATTATATCACAGGACTTGAGAGCCTGCAGTAGCACTAACACACCACTAATCCAACTAAGACAACACACTGTCTATGTTACAAAATACAAAGTAGCAAACAGCCAAGAAAGGAGGGAGGGAAGTGGAGAGAGGAGAAAAAATAGAGAAATAATTTTTTTAACGATTGCGAACCAATATCTCTGAGTGACTGTTTGGTACAGTCGATGGTAACGTTTGCTCCAACTTTTATGGCCGACTGGAGTCTTGTCGCCACAATGTCAGCTGCCAGTCTGAAGACCAGAGAACAGAGACTCACACGCACACATGCAGACTGAGTACTCACGTACATTCTCTTGGCTCCCATCACTTTAGCCAGTCCAATAGCAAACAGACCCACTGGCCCACATCCTAAAGTTGTAAATTAAAAGTTGTATCTGTGCCTTGCAATGGACACCAGATAAAATTTCCCACAGGGCTCCAAAATACACGTTTTATTGTAAAAAAATTCCCTGATATTATTATATACTCAGTGTAGGTATAGAAGTCTAGAGAAGGGTGGACCTTGAATTAAGATTGTCTCTCCTTTTGGATCTATTTCTTCCAGTGCCTGATGAGCCACTCCACAGGCTGGGAGAGAGGGTGAGAGAGAGAGAGGGAGGGCGAGAGAGAGAGAAAAGAGGAGAGGAGGAGAGAAGAAGCAAGAGAAATAGGGGATTAAAACAGAAGAAAATGGGTTCTGTCTGTATGTCTCACGTTCCAAGATTGCAGCCCTGGCATCATCAAGGTCAGTTGTAAGACGGTAGGCGTAGCGAGACGGAACGATGGTGAACTCTGAACACCCTCCGTACACTGTCCCTCTTCCGTGGCCAAACTGGTCCAGATTCTGACAGATGTGCCTCAGATCTTGGGGGAAGAGAGAGGGAGGAGAGAGGGAGGAGAGAAAGGAGAACTCAAAAAGATGCCTCACATGAAAAGACCAAAGTCAACTGAGAAACAGCCTCACACCATGCGTGCACTGGTAGCAGCGGCCACAGAAAAAGTGGTTCTCGACACAGACTCTGTCTCCAACAGCAAACCCCTCCCCCACCTCCTCCCCCATCTCCATCACCTGCACAGACAGAGAGATGGCTAGAAAAATGGAGGAAATGAGAGAAGGCAAAGTAGTGCCTTTACCTCTCCCACCACTTCGTGGCCAGGGGTAAACGGGACAGTAGCTATCTTCTGGGCGACTGTGAGGCAAGAAAATAACCACACTTGTTAGCTACCAGTGGTAGAGGTATGGAAGTACCGTTGTTCCACTGGTAGAGGGCGATATCTGAACCGCAGAGCGCCACCTTACCGACCTTCACCAGCAGCTCGTCACCGCGGGGCGTGGGTACAGGCACGTCCTTGTACACGTAGGAAGGGCCGGCGCTCTCCTTCACCAGTGCCTTCATGACTCTGCCGTGCCCTGCGGCCATTACTGAGGAAGAGCCAGCCAGCGAGAAACAGCAACGCACACCCCTACCCACACCCACATGTGTGCACCCCGTGAATGAGGGGAGGGGCTAGTTTTTCTTCAACGCGGAATCGCGATAATGGCGAGCGGCCGTGTACTTTTGGAGCTGCTGGTGTCTCTGGCTGCTGCTCTGGTGGTGTGTCTGCAGCAATGCTCCGGGGTCCCTGTAGACCCCAGGCAACAAGTCGTGCAGCTGTTGGAGAAAGGCAACCACGAAGACCTCGCCAAGTACGACCTTTGTCTCGTCTGTGAGGTACGTAGCTCTGCACGCGACTTGTTTTTTTAGATGTGCTGGTTATCCTCAATGCAGGGCGTCGTGGAGGTTGTCAAACTATACTTGGAGAGAAATGCGTCTGTGGATGAGGTAATCCCGGTCGTGGAACCGCTCTGCCTCGTCTACATGAACAAGACGAACGGCTACAACGGGACCTTCATGTGCCCCGGGATCCTCAAATCTTACCTTCCCATAGTAAGTCAACCAGACGCCGACAGGGAAATTGTGCAGACTTCAAAACAATAACACAGCATAGAATACGCAAGAAAAAAGGAACAAAAAAGAAATTTTTAGTTTGTGTTCTGTAGGTGCTGTATGTGGTGGCAGAAGGGGCTCTGGATCCTGCAGACGTGTGCTACATTATCCATCTCTGCAACAGTTCGTCACACGCCCAGTCCTCCTCCCCTCTCCTCTCTCTCCTGGAGACCAGCTGGCACAAGAGGCAGTGGACTCCAACCCACAGCCTCCCGGGAGCACTGGAGGGGAATTCCCTGAGAGAAGAACCAGCTGTCAGGGGTGCAGGGAAGAGGGGAGGGAGGTTAGAAAAGAAGGGCGGAGATCCAATTGTGTTTCTTCAGTTGTCAGATATTCATCTTGACCAGCTTTTTGCAGAGGCAAGCAATTCTTTGTCCTGTAACCTGAAAAATCATTTCTCCCTCACAATCTCACATCTCTACGTGTATATATGTATGTACACCTTTACTGGTACCCCCTCTCTCCTCCTTCCCTCCCTCCCTCCCTTCCCTCTATCATGCAGGGCTCACCCAGTATCTGCAACCTGTATCTTTGTTGCCGAACTTGGTACAGTGGAACAGTAAGCATTCGTTTCTTCCCAAATATATCAATACTCTCTTCAGGCTTTTGTCTGTATCTGATACTGCAAATAATGGAGCATATCTTTCCAAAAAAACATCTATTTTCAAATGTATTCGATCCAAGTGTTCCAATGTGCTCTATAGGGAGAGTAGCATTTATAGTTGTAGTTCAGCTCTCAACCGCACAAGTTCCCCATTACCCCCTTACATCTCTCTCCTCTTCACTGTCTGTTGCCAGGGTCCAGCCGGTCACTATGGCGACTTCAACTGCGATCTGCCCCTCGCCACTCTGGAAGTTGTCGTGGAAGCTATTGCGCAACTTGATCCCCAGCCGGACTTCATCATCTATACCGGTAGCTACAGGACATGGAGTTCAGGACATGAGTTAGGACACTGTGAGATCAGGACAATGTCTTTCATGAATAATGTTTAGGACAACTATGAGTATGACCCTATTAGGAACAGGTTGTTGGTAGTAATTATTCAGGGTGTCTTGAGATACCCAGAAATATTTTCGCTGTGATTCTTTTTAGGACAGGTCTATTAGGACACTTCTATTAGGACACCTCTATTAGGACACCTATTAGGACACCAATGTTCAGGGCACATTCGATGCATATTACATAACAGGGGATAATTCTCCTCACGATGTCTGGAATGAGACGTGGACGGGGGAGTACCAAGCCACGGAGTTCCTAATCTCTTACCTCGCCGAGAAATTACCCCAACGACACATCTACCCCGCCCTTGGCAACCACGGTAACCATGCCCAGCAGCCACCTCAACATTCAGTTCAACCACAGTAATGGCAGACTGATTGCTTGTCAAAATTTATTTGCTGCAATCACAAATTTTTTTCTCTCAAACATTTTCACTAAATGCCATGCCCTGACTGTTGTACTGCATGGCATGCTAATCAAGTGAGTTGTATTTCTTCCGTCCACAGAAACGTTCCCTGAGAGTGAATATATTGGAACTCTACCTCAATACCAGGTCAGTTCTCATATCACACACTCATTTTATTTTGACGCTAACCCTAAAGACGTCAAATCTGTATGCTACTGTAAGTGGTAGTCATGGTGACCACACACTTCTCCCGGCTCTGCAGGAGTTAACTCGTAAAATGGCCGACTACTGGCAGAAGTTGGTGCCACTGCCGCAGTCTGCTCTGGACACCATAGCTGATGGGGCCTACTACACCACTCTCATTGAGGACAAATTGAGGGTCCTCTCTTTTAACTCTGACTATGGGTGAGACGGTTAACCCCTTCCACTCCCCTCCCAATTTCTCCATTAACCCTTTGTCCACTCTACACCTCCATGTCCAAAATTTCTACACTTCATTTCCCATTAACTCCTTCCACTCCACTACAATTTCCTATTAACCCTTTTCACTCCACATTCCAATACGTCTTTAACTCCTTCCATTCCATAGCCCGCTTCTTAACCCATTCATTCCACAGGTACACCATCAATTTCTACACTCATCTGAACGGAAGGAATGCGTACTTCACACGCCAACAAGAATGGATTGTTGGACACACTAGCAAAGGCTGAACAGGCAGGAGAGAAGGTGAGCCATATTTCAGGACACTCTCTTACTCTGTCCTGATATTTCAGGACACTCTGACTCTGTCCTGATAGTTTCTTGTCCTGTAGGTCATGATGATTGCCCACATTCCGCCTGGTGACCCTGGCAACACAGTGGCAGCCTACGAGGAGTTCTATTTAAACCTCACCAAGCGTTACCGTGACACCATCGTGGCTCATCTGTTTGGCCACACCCACCACGACGAATTCAAGCTGGTATATATGCTGCTGTCTTCTAACCCAATTCTTTAAGTGGTGCCTGCGTTTCGCTAACCCTCTTCCTCAACTTCAGATAATGTTAGTTCACAGATCAGACCACCATAATTATAAATTCAAACCTACGGAGTAACACGAGGCAACACGCCTCAGTGTAGTATTGGTCTAATAATAAATGATAGGTCCACACATTCAACAAGTATGTGTGTGAATTTAGAAATGTCAATTGGTGTAGATGGACCTATCACACCATGCCTATTGCAAGAAACGTATGATAAACTGTTGGGACATTATTCAATCAGATCCAGGATGAAGAAGGCGTGTATGGGGCGGTGTTGATCTGTCCGTCTGTCACTCCATACGGCCGCAGCAACCCATCCTTCAGACTGTTTTCCATGGACTCCTCATCTTACCAGCTCCTGGACTACCACCAGTACCATCTCAACCTCTCTCTTGCCAATGGTAAACCATGACCTTGTATATAGCTGACACACACATATTTCGTTCAGTTGTCCTGTGTCGATGAGTTGTTTGGGTTGCCTCACTGCCTGCTGCCTCGAAACATCGTTGTTGACACATGTTGTTGTTGTTGTTGTTGTTGACACATGCATCACTCTACAGTGTACAAGCCTATCTGTGCAGTGCTTCCACGCTTATATTATTCGAGTGTACAGACCAGTCTTTTCATCTCATTTTTTTGTTTTTCCTTGCTATACTGACATATGTACATTAAGTGAGCATTTTCGTGTACATAGGGTGCAACCGTTTTTTTTCCATCTCTCCTCTCTCCCCATCTCTCCTCTCCCCATCTCTCCTCTCTCCCCATATCTCCTCTCCCCATCTCTCCTCTCTCTCCTCTCCTCCTCTCTCCCCATCTCTCCTCTCTCTCCATCTCTCCTCTCTCCCCATCTCTCCTCTCTCTCCCATCTCTCCTCTCTCCCCATCTCTCTCTCTCTCCCCATCCTCTTCTCTCTACCGTCTCAGTCTCTTCTCTCTCTCTCTCTCTCGTCTTCCTCTCCATCTCGTCCTCTCTCTCCTCTGCGTCCTCTTCTGTTCGCTTCTCTCCTCATCTCTCGTCCCCCTCTCTCCTCTCATCTGCCCATCTCTCGTGGCTTATCTCCCTCTCTGGCGTCTCTCTCGATCTCTCCCTCTCCTGCTGCTCATCCTCTCGTTCGTAGTCTCTCGCCCCATCGTCTCCTCTCATCCCCTCTAGTCTCCTCAGTCGGCGGATCACTGCCCCATCTCCTTGCGCTCTCTCTCTAGTTCATCCAACTCCAGCCATCCACTCCTCTGTGCGGTTCTCCTCGGTCGCCTCTCTCCTCTCCACCTCACCCCGTCAATCCCATCATCAATCCTCACCCTCTCTCCTCTCTCGCGCCCTCTCGTCCGTACTCTCCCCTCGTCCATCCTTCTCGAGTATCTCCAGCCCTCGAGTCTGACTGCTCTCTCTCGCGCGTGTCCTCTGGTCTACAAAAAGCGTGGGGGGGATTGTATGGGAACGGCATTTCCATCGTCATCAATCTCCCTCATCTCCCGGTCTCGATGTCGGGTCCCTACTCTCCTCTCTCATCGCCTGCTCTCCTCTCTCCCCCTCGTCTCCTCTCTCCCCCCTCGTCATCGGCGTGCTCGGGTCTCCCCATGCTCTCCTCTCTCTCCTCATCTTCGCATCTCAATCCGTGGCCCTGCATCCATCCCCCTCTTCTCCTCTCGTCCCCCTTCTCTGCCTCTCTCTTGCCTCTCGGCTCCTCGTTCGGGATTTTCCGCCCTCCCTCTCGTTCGTCCCGAGCTCTCTCCATCTCAGGTCTCTCCCTCTGACGGTTCCTCGGTGACAGCTCTCCATAAGTCATACCCCCCATCATCGATCACTCAGTCCATCGGCGGCACTCCCTACAATCCGTGCTCGGAGGGTCATCTCCTACTCTGGGCATCGCTCTTCTGGGTGCCATAGGTAACATACGTCGTGGCTCGTCGACCCTCTCGTTGCCTGCATCGCTCCCTTTCTCAATCCTCTCATCTCCCCGTGCTCATCTCTCGATACGGGTTCCCCTCTCATCACCATAGGCTCTCCCCGCATCTCTCCTCCATCAGTTCATTCTCACCTCTCTCCTCTCGCGTTCTGCAACCTCGCGGGGTCTCAATCTGCCTACACCCGCATCTCCTCGACTCACTCTTCATCCGCGGCCTCGGGGGGTCTTCCTGCTCTCATGTCCCCGTACTCTCATCTCCTCTCGACTCCCATCTCTCCTCTGCTCCCCACTCGCTCCTCTCTCCATCTCTCCTCTCTCTCCCCATCTCTCCTCTCTCAATCTCTCCTAACTCTCCAATCCTCTCTCTCTCCCAGTCTCCTCGCTCCCCATCTCTCTCCTCTCTCCCATCTCTCTCTCTCAGTCTCCATCTCTCTCTCTCCCCAGTCTCTCCTCTCTCTCCATCTCTCCTCTCTCTCCATCTCGTCCTCTCTGTCTCCCATCACTCTCCCTCTCCATTCTCCTCTCTCTCCTCCTCTACTCTTCTCCTCCCCATACCGTTCCAGAACTGGCCAAGAAAGGTGTAAAACCGGAGCTGGAACTGGCCTACACGACCTCTGACCTCTACTGAGCCTCCCTGACCTGACTCCACCCTCCTGGGCTGACCTTGTGGAGAGGTACGTACATTAAGAACGCAGTAAACCTGTCTCCGCTCACAATTGTCGAGTCATTAGCTGATAAGAAGACTACCGGATTCTATGCTTGCACGGATATGACATGGTCCCATTCCCATTCCCCAGGTTCTCAGACTACCCGGACCTGGTCTCGGACTACCGCTACAACATCTACGGTCAGACGAGCTCAGGTGACAGGTCATGTGACCCGGAGTGCATCAGGGAGACGGTCTGTGCCGTCAGCAACATCCTCACCAGTGAACGAAAGAGCTGTCTCAATGGATGATCAGGACTTATAATGTGTGTTAACATTTTCAGCCGATTTGTGTATTTTCACTTATATATTGTGTTGCACTCTTTGCACGATATTGCTTTAAAAAACCAACAAAAACTGCTGTGACATAATTTGCTTGGCCAAAGAGTGAGATAGGGGGAAAGACAATTCAATAATGCACCAGGCCTTCTCCCGTGAACAAATTGAGTAGTGCCTCTGCGAGGCTAGGTAAACTTGAGGTTAAGCATCGGGCGTTGCACATTCAACAAACTATGTAGACTCAGATAAAAAATTCATTGAATTATTATACAAGTCTAGCCCAAGATGAGTTCATAAACGATGACCAGGATATTTATTGCAACCAGGGGAACTGCAAATAAAGACAAAAAACACACCATCAATAACAATACACACTTTTTTCTTCATTGCATTGCATGTCTCAATAATAAATTTTAAAAACAGCCTTTAGTACTGTTTAGCAAAGTAGACAACTGTTTGAAAATTTTACCTCAAAATATTCCTACAGTATAAGATCACACACATGGACAATTGTCTACATAACTGGTTCATACAAACCTCTGAGGAGTGTCTGTACTGAAGTGATGAGGTTTACCAGCTGAACCTTGGCCCCACTCTGCCCTCCAAACCCCTCATTACGGTAGTCCTTCCCCCAACCCACTATTGATGAGAGGGACAAGGGAGAGGGGTTATTTTTGGTGCGGCTACGGCTAGGCATACCTTTTGCCAGAAACCTCTCCTCGTTCAGTATGGCTACGGCATTCACGAGCAGCAGGAGAGCCTCAAACAACGTTCCGAGTGTGAACACCATCGCGGTAACTGTTCCTCTCTATTTATGCGAAATATCATTATACCGAGAAATATTGAAAAAGCGGGAACTACGAAGGAATTTGTGTGTGATGGAGGCTGTTATGGAACAGGAGGCGAAGAGCGAGCGAGAGGAAAGAGCAGACAATGGTTCAGGCGGCGGGAGAGAAGGCTCCGAGGAGGAAGAGACGAGTAAGGCGGACAGCCGTCGGGTGGAGCAGCTGTCTCGGTTCCTCAGACATCAACAGGAGGTTGTGTACAAGTGAGTCGCCCGCTCTCTGTGACCTCTGACCTCCCTATTCTCTCGCAGGACGCAGAACATCTCCAAATACTTTGAGTCTCCCGTGCGAGAGGTTGCCGCAAAGATCTGGGAGCAGATTCACCCAAATATTTCCTCTGCTATTGAGGTTTATGTTGGCAACATTAGGGTCACGTGATCTGTGTGATAATCACGCGATATCACGTGATCCGACACTCAGGGTAAGTACACTCGAGTACTGGAGGAGTGGAATGTGACCTCCAAACTGGCAGAGCTGGACAGACTGCAGCGGGAGAGTCCAAGGACCGTTCCGGCATGGTATGTCGACCACCACTCCTCCAATTCCCATACCTAGCATCACTCTGGTGCCCAGAGCCTTTATAAAAAACACATGTGCAGTAGTAGTTTCATAGCCACAAAACTTTTATGTATAATTATACATGCAACCATACCACATCATTGAGGTATACTACTGTGACTGTGTGTGTGTGTTGCTAGGAGACCGACGGGGATTCCCCAGGAGGACAGCATGGCGGCAGAGTTGGCTGAGGCCAGTCACACACTGCCTGAGTTCCAGACCAGACTGACACAAGTTAGTTAGTAGCACACTCCCTTCTTGTTCCTTGGAGAAACTGAGACAGTTGTATCTAGCAGTATTCAGAGTGAAAAAATCTCACTCCAGTACATGTACTGAAGCAGGTAGCTATGCACTCTCACATGTTTGATTGAGGATTAGATTAGACTTAGGTATATAGTATGTAGCCAGTGTGTAGGGGAGTGATATAATTATACGGTGTGTTACTATGCACACACACACACACACACAGGCACAGGAGAAGTCTAGAGAGCTGCAGCAGATATTGGAGGAGAAGGAGGCAGAGTTGGTGCAGCTGGACCAAGAGATAGCCACTAGCATTTCCTCCCTCAAACACGTCTGCTCCTCTTTCCCTCGCACTTCCTTGTCTTGAGGCAGAAACTTCCAGCCCTGCTAGTATAAGGGCCTGCACATTTTCTGGATGTCCAATTAAGAAATGCGACTATCTTTGATTGACACAAGAGGATGATGTTCAACTTGTATTTTTAGTGTCAATGTTATATTTAAATAAGTGTGGATGTTGTGAAGTACAAAACTAAAATATCATCTAATGCACAATATTGCTGGGACACACAGGATGCAAGCTCAGAATCAACTCGTCAAATACAGTGTTTATAATTATTATTATTATTATTATGTATATAGCATGAGATGAAAGCTGAGCTTCTTGGGTGCAAATATGAACACACATTGAGAGAGTGAGCGAGCAAGAGAGTACGGAGAGAGAGAACGGAGAATGAAATAGCGTTATTCCAGAGAGTGTGGGACAAATAATTGGAGAGGATCAAGAGGGCGAGTGAGAGTCAGGAGCAACAGTAGATATATTCACAGCTTTGGAACAGATCTGTGGCAATGGAGGACAGAGAGAGATAGAGACACAGGGACAGTGAAATAGCTCCAGTCTAGTGCTTACTGCGTGTATCCAGCAAACAGCCAAATTTGCACTTACTACGAAACCGTGATTTTTCTCTCCAGAAGAGTTTCCGGCTATATATCTACATACTGCAGGTATCTGGCTGCCATGGCAACTCACATAGTCACATGATCTCATTTAGGCAGGGGGTGTGGTCAGTGCTCGTCATCCTCTGAGGGGGTGGGGCTTTCAGCTTCGCTTTTCCAAATCTCATAATTTGAAGATAGTTGTTCCAACAGTTCCGGAACACTGCAGTAGTCTAGAGAGAGGGGAGAGAGGGAGAATGTATCAGAAATTTGGGCAACTTAGATATAATTTATTGGAGGATCACAAAATTGTTTTGGCAACAGACACTAACATAATTATGGTATGAACAAAACTCATTAAGTATGGTTCAATGAACATATTATACATGTAGGCAGTTATGCACTAAAACTTACTGTCCCACGCCTCAAATAGACCGGTGATGAAGAAATCGATGAATTTAGTCTGAGAACGAAGACAGAGAGGGAACTAATTAATGACTAGAGTAAAGGAGAGATTGTAATAGGAACCTGTGTGTTGGGGATAATACAGGTCTCACGATCGAAGTCTGGGAATACGACTGGCAGGTCTCTTGACTTCTCTTCATCCGTCTGTTTGTGGGGGAGGGGGGGGAGGTGGGAGGAGTCAGGGGTAGAGTGGGACCTCAGAAAAAGGACACCTCTCTCAGACAAGGGATGCTTCGAAGTCCCTTACTTAGAGGTTTTGCTGTATATTATTAGACATTACTGTGACGGCTCAGCACCCCAGCATTATACACTACAAGCTGTACACAGTGACAATAATTACTACACCGGAAATGCGGTTGCCGGCGACTACCAGTAAGCCACACCCACACAGACGACCGTCTCACCTGTGAGAAATACTCCTTGGCGATACGCTCCGCCCACTCTCGACAGAGGTGCATTGGCCGCAGAGGGTTGGAGATGTCTGCACATTTGACGAGGATTCTCTTTAGGACTTGCCTCGCCTCCTGACCTTCCTTGGTGAGACTGACGGCAGATCCCTGCCCTGGGGCCTCCGTATCCTGGGCCTAGGGGAGAGGGGAGAGAATAGAGAAGGTGAGGAGGTAGAGAAGCAGAAACAGCAAAGGGGGTGAGAGGTGAGTATATTGGAACAAACACACAACGGGAGGAGGAAGAATTCTCTCATGTGAGATGGCTCACCATGAGTGCATTGAACTTGGTGAGGTGTTCGAAATGCTGAGACATGTCTGTGGCCAGAACCATGTCAATAATGGACACTCTCATTTCACGATACGTGGCCCTGACAGAGAGAAGAGAAGAGAGAGAGAGAGAGAGAAGGTAGAGATTTAGAGTTTCAGTGGTGGTCAGCTGCTCGAATGCCCCAATCAAAGACATGTGACCTCAGATGCCAATAATTTGAGTCCAGTCATAATTATGTTGACATGCACATATCACCAACACCTCCTCTTTTAGCAGGAGTGGAGGTGGTGGAGGGGAGAGGAGAATTTGTGGGGCTTCAGCATCAACTGGACCCTCTATTCTCCCTCCCCTCCTCCACATCTCCACTCCCTCCCCCCTCCACTCCTCACCCATCAAGACTCTGAAAGATGTTGGCGGTCGCATTCTCGCTGTCTTCAGTCAGTCTGAAGGCCAAGGACACATGATGGTTCTCCAACACTGACCTGAAGGGAAAAGTACACGATTTAGAATCTTAACTCAAACAACATTGGCGCTTATATCATTCCCAGTATCAAAATTCGCAAAATTGTATGAAAAGCATGCCACACACCAACAGTACAAAGAGTGTTCGTGAAAGTTCCATTTGAGCGATTTGCGGAAGATTTTTGTTATACGCTACACGTGGTTGAAGCTACATACATTGCTCACACATTATATTATACAGTGCCGTCCCCCATGTTCCTCTCACTTGTCATTGTAGAGGAGAGCCAGCTGGGCCCTGCTGTTGCAGAGAAACGGGTTGGTGAACCCGGGATGGTCCAGGTCATGAACCACGGCTGAAATACAGATCGCAGCAATCTCTGCCTGGTCTAACATCTCCTGTGGAGTGAAACATTATGGTTAAAATCATCAGTTGAAGGGAGAAGAGAGTCCACCTATATAGTAGTCTGGATTGAGCACTTTGCGACTACTGTAATGCTTCACGTAACTCTGAAATGTTTGCTGATCAATAATTCTTCTCTTTTTCTCAAGCACACACAATTCAAACTCTGCATGGACTAAGTAATTCAAATTGTAGGTTCTAGGCACTTGATTGCCAACGTGAATTGTAACCTCCACTGTAGAGAGGGGAGGGGGGGACGTGGAATGTATTTCACGCAGCTGATTAAAAGTCTTTAGATGTACATAAGTGAGTGTTCCTACCCCATGTGTGGCCAGTTTGTCTTGCAGCTGTTTCACGAGATAGGCCGCCGCGTGGAGGACATCTGCAGCATGCGTGGAGTTGTGGTAGGGGTTTGACTTGTAGTGTGTTTCCATTAGCTGGAGGGAGAGGAAAGAGGGTGAGGGGAGAAAAGGTTAAGGGTGAGCCGGGACAGAAAATGCAATGAGAATTGCAGCCCAAACAGACCTACATACACCCAGTTTAACCCTCTCCCAACAGACCTACATACACCCAGTTTAACCCTCTCCCAACAGACTTACATACAACCAGTTTAACCCTCTCCCAGCAGACCTACATACACTCAGTTTAACCCTCTCCCAACAGACCTACATACACCTAGTTTAACCCTCTCCCAACAGACCTTCAGCCAGCAGCTGGTGGTTGTCTCGTCCACACCAAGAGTCTCTGAAACGTTGAAATCCTTGAAAATCTTGGAGCCAACGTAATACAGTGGGCCCAGCCTCCGCGCCTCCTGACACACCCTCTCCAGGTGGATGATGTCATAGTCCCACCTGATGACATCATCACGGATGAATGATGTAATCATCACATCATATTTGGGGGACTGACCGGTCGACTCCTTCCAGAGCCTCTTGCAGTTGTTGAGGAGGAGGCGTGGCAGGACTGTGCCTCAAGTGAGGGGACATGTGTGCTGGGGAACGGAGGAATGGGGAATGGGAGTATGACGGAATGGGAATGAGACAGTGTGGCTCACTAGTTCTGACAGGATGTTCAGAGGCGCTGGTTACCGCATGTGGCCTCCGTGTGGATTGCTGGCGTCAGAGATGGGGAGGGAGAAAGAGAGAGAGAGGGAGAGGGGGAAGGAGGGGAGAGAAGAGTTTGAGGACTGATTTGTGCGTGATGACACAGTGTATTAGGGAAGGTGTGAACAGAAGGGAGAGAGAGAAGAGGTGAAGAGGAGTGGGAAACATCCTCACATAGAGGAGGCCCTGGACGATGCCCGATCTGCTGCTAGAGATGTCATCTGATTGAGGAGCATAGGGGTCCGACGTCCTTAGCACTTCCTGAGGAGGGAGAGAGAGGGGGAGAGAGGGGAGAGAGGGGAGAGGGGAGAGGAGGTAAAAACCAACAAAACATTATGAGAAGTCAAAACAAGAATGCAAGTAAAAAAAACAGTTGTTCCATTTCTCAGGGTATACATAACAATGCCCAGTACTGAGGAGACCTGCAGACCTCAACAAAAACTGACTTTTCAATACAAAATCGCTGGAATGGTGTCACATTCAACACAATTTCACATGTGTGAAGAACAACAAATTGTTGGGCTACGTACGAATGTCAGCATGGAACCAGAGGAATCAGAACACAGACAGAGAGATACCTACCATGGCATGGTCGAGGGCTTCCCTGATGTTGGGAGGACAAGTCTCGTTCCTCTGAGCCTCTCCCAGTATGTTCACCACCTGTACACAGGATTACGTCATCATTACGTCATAAACGGGAAACAGGATCACCACAAATTTACAGAATTACAGGAAACTCTTATTACACTATTGATTACAGTGGTCAGAATGTCACGTTGTATCGCAACACTCTAAAAGTGGATTTGGCTATGACTTGTGATTGTTCGTTGGGGGGGCATGTGGTCCAATAAAGGACAAGAAGTGAAGGGTCTAAAGGAGAGGGGTGGGAACTCCATTCAAGGACCACACTGGTAAGGTGTGTTGGCTCAACAGAACACTGTCAGTGGGGAACAAGATAGGCCAGCCACCGACACTTGAAACCTGCAACCTAGGGATTCTTTCTTCCCCCTTCTCCCTCCCTCCTTCCTTTCTTCCCTTGCCTAATATACGATGGAGTAGAATGAATACTTGCTCTACCCATTATAACCTCTATAGGAATAATATGGTATAATACGAAACTCCGCCAGAGTTGTTTCCGAGGTTTACAATGGAACACTTTGGCAGGTATAGAATGTATGTACTGTGAGGAGCACTGTCAAAGCAAGATCAGCCGTTCTACTGAGGACGACACATACACCTCTCTCTAACAGGAGAGATAAACTGAAACAGTGAAATGGAGAGGGATCCATCCTCCAGGCAGTAGAGAGGTTGAGCAGCCATTGGCAGGGAAGCCATCCCCCACACAGTCTCATTACATAATGGACTGCGTGTCATTCAAATTAGTGTAGTCTAAGAGGCTTTCTGTTCCAGCCTGGGATGAAGTGCCCCCCCAGTCTTAGGTGTCATTGGTCAGGTTTCACTATTACGTAATGTTCAATAATGGCTTAAAGAATGGACAAGAGGGGGAGAAGATGAATTGACGAGCTCATAACAACATCGTGGCAAAGAGTCACACCACAGAAAGTGTACAGTGGAACCTCTCTCTAAGGATCTCCTCCCTTGAAATCCATAACCAGGACACCTTGTCTTTCCCCAAGAACTGTTCTTGCATGCAATTCAACCCCTGAAATAAGGACACCACAGAAATATGGACACTTTCTTCTGTCCCACTGGCGCCCAGATTAGAGGAGTTCCACTTCCCGGAGATACAAGTACAGTACTACACATGTATAACTGTTTCGATACCTTGGCCAGAGGTGTGTCGACCGTGGGGTGTGATCTGTGAGCAGGGAGAGTGTGGGTCTTCATCAGAGGAGGTCGAACTGCACACACACAGAGAGAGAGAGAATCAGTGAAAACCTTTCCTGAATCAAGAATCTCGCAGAACAAAAAAATTCCTCGAAATGGTATTAATAAAAGGAATGTGTTGAATTTAGGTTAAATTTGTTACTAAATATGTCACTAGGGTCCAGCGCAAGAATGCAATTGGTCTCCATTTTTATTTAGACAGCCACATTCCCTTAAAGGAAAGAGGGGAAGGGGTAAAGAGGGGTGTGGCCTCACAAGAATTATGAGACTCTTTGGGACTGGGTGCCCCCGTAACCGGGCGGAACTCAGAAGTGGGTGTGGTTTCACTGGTGGGTGTGGTCTTCTGATCCACCGATCCCAGCAATCTCCGAATTGTGACATGATACACTGCAGATTGCCTGGAAGGGAGAGAGATGAGCAAAGGTGTACGTGGGATTGGGTGGGTGTGGCCTACTCTGGTGCCATGACGACGGGGATAAGTTTGAGGTGTTGTCTGAGAGCAGTTCCAGACTTTCGTCTCCCAACACACTCCACCTCGCCTGACCACGTCTGGGGGACAAGAGGAGTAACTTACAGTGATCAGATGCATACAGTGGAACACACCACTTATAGAGGTGTGTCCTTTATTCATAATACACGAAAGTAACAAAGGTCCTTATAGGCAGGTGTCCTATGTTCTGAGGGTACTTTATGAGATAGTAGTCTGCAGGACAGCGAACTGGGACTGAAACTTTAGGGACAGTGGGAAACCGTACCACAGTAGGGAGCTGTTATGAGAGCCAGCCCAAACATAAAATAAACGATAGGTTGACGGACTCGGGCAGTAGTTGTGGATGATTTGAACATTGAGCAGAGGGTCTGGGGTTTTTTTAGTGCAGGAGAGTGTGCCATACTGGCATACCCCTCAAACTAAAGACTGTGATTGCCAAGATTGCCAGCATACACACGTTGTACGCGAGCAATAGTGGAGATTTCAGATGAAATATCGATATGTACAGAGCACTCGTGTGAAAGAGAGAGAAAGAGAGTTATGTAACAGGACAGACCTTGAGAGGTTGAGTCGAGGGGAACGGTCCGTTCTCAGACCTGACGTCAATCATCTTCATCATCTCGCTGGCTGGTCTCCCGAGAGCTTCCTCCTTTGAGAACCCCGTCAGTCGCACAAATGACGAGTTCACATACTGTGTGTGTGTGAGTGTGTGTGGGTGGGTGGGGGGAGAGGTGAAGGTTAGGAGGTCGAGTATTAAGAGGTTTTCACGTACCATAATCTGACTTTGGCTGTCGGCTATTTGAATGGCGTCATTGCTCTGGTCAACTGCTGCTTGTAGTGCCTGACTATACCTGTATCAACAGAGGGAGGGAGGGAGGGGGGGAACGATCAGCAGCAGGTATCAACAGAGGGAAGGAGGGAGGGGGGAATGATCAGCAGCAGGTATATGGTATCATGGTTAGTTATGACAGGACATGACCTATCTCTTCTCATTTCACTACCCACCACCAGATAACCACACCATAGGAGCATTGTACATACATGTGTGAGTGTGCATGGTTCCAGTGGGTAGCAGGGTGAGTGTCATTGTTTGCCTGTTAAAGTGAGTTTGTACAAGACTAATAGTTAGTCATCCTTGACATACCTCATTACCTATATATAATATACCTACACAAACACTACAACGTTATGTAACTGCGGCAACCAGGGAGTGTGTAGCTAGCTACAGATTACGCAATGTCAGCTGGTAGTCATGTGACAGTGGAGAAGACTCACATGAGGTGCTGTTTAACCCTCAGCTCACTGCATTCAAGCAGCTGCAGGTGGAGGCGAAGGCTGCTGTCACTACATTGGTCTTCTGTGAGGAGTCTCGAAAACCCCGCCCCCACTAGTTGAACTCTGACCTCTGGAGTAAGCCTAAACAATGGGAGAGAGGGCAGTCATCAGTATTGTACACATTCTCTGGTTTCGCTCCCCAAATATTGGTTATCATGCTGTCTCTCTTTAGGATCAACACAACAGATTTTGATAGAGAAACCGCTTGCAAAGAAAATGCAGAAAAACCTTCACAAGAAACCCTTAGGGTCAGAGGACAAGTAACGCCACAGGATATTCTCTTTCAAAGAGACTGTGCTAATGTACGTGTGTGTGTGTGTAACTCACTCGTTGCTATCAGCAACGATGGCAACCAGTGTTGCTTGGAGCCAGAGATTGTGAGATGCAATCAGTTCCACTAGCCGCTCCACGACTGCAATCTGATTGGTCGAAATGTCCACGAGGACCACGGTCTGCCGGCTGGACTGGCTGACCCTCCGACACGCTTCCTCTGCCGTTTCCACGGCAACACAGCTGTGGGCAAGCCCCTGACATTGCTGGAATAACGAGGTTCCTAAGGAGTTGGACTCTGGGCGAAGAAGAATGACCTAATGCAGTGAGACAGGAGAAAGGGAGGATGGAGGAGGAGGAGGAGGAGGGGGAGGGGGTGTGAAGAGAGAGAAGAGAGAGAGAGGGAAGAGAGGGAGAGAAGAGAGGGAGAGAAGAGAGAGAGAGAAGAGAGAGAGGGAAGAGAGAGAGGAAAGAGAGAGGGAGAGAAGAGAGAGAGGGAAGAGAGGGAGGGAAGAGAGAGAGGGAAGAGAGGGAGTGAAGAGAGGGAGGGAAGAGAGGGAGAGAAGAGAGAGAGGGAAGAGAGGGAGTGAAGAGAGGGAGTGATAGGGCATTCGTGAGTGAGCAGCAGGGCCTACAGAAACAAGGTCAATAATAGCGACGTTGAAGTTGAACCAGCTGCACCGTCCATAGAGGTGATTCATGTACCATCATTACACTGACTTCAGTAACGTATGATACCCAACCAGATTTCAATCATCAAACCATGCCCATAACTTCACAGCGCCTTAAAAAGGCCTTTCCCCTCCCCACCACCATTAGTACCTGGTATTCAACAGCTCTGTCAAGAGGGCTGTACCATCCTCTGTGAGTTGTTGTCTTCACATGTCCCTACACAGGAAGCAGAGGTCAATAGGTCACATTACAACACTATCACAAGTCAAGCATTTGCGAACAACAACAATACACATATTACGCAAACAAAAACATGTCATTTTCATACTAGAACACATTGTCCGCATTCCACAACTGATTTGACATGGAATGCGAAATGTGACGTAGGAAAATGCACGGACTACTGCAGACCACGTGAAGCACTCTGCGACTGGATTGTGCATACACACGTAATAACCCCAACCGCCCAGCCAGGGCTTAGCCACAGGTTGCCTTATTAGGAAGGCAGGGTGAGCAGCTGGAATGCTAATCAGACTAAAACCCAATTGTACTGTGACCCCACTACAACTGAGTCTGTCCACACACATGTGGGCTCTGCTGCTGACAGGAGTGTAGATATGGGACAACTCTTGCTTCATCCACGCTCTTTCCCTATCTCTCTCTTCTCTCCCTGTTTAACATCTCTCTCTCTCTTCTCTCTCTATACCAGCCGCTATACATGTCAGTGTACTGCAATTGAACTACAAGTTTACGTGGGAGACTACAGAGCTACATATGGTAGCATTAGGTCTGCATATGTCCTGTATTGACACAGTACAGGACCCATACATTAGGTCTGCATGTCCTGTATTGACACAGTACAGGACCCATACATTAGGTCTGCATGTCCTGTATTGACACAGTACAGGACCCATACATTAGGTCTGCATGTCCTGTATTGACACAGTACAGGACCCAGACATTAATTAATCCTCTACTACTGACGCTTTCCAAGAACATGGTTGCTCTTTTTACAATAACCCAAGGGCACAAATATCACTTTTCTCCAATCAAAAGGACAGAACGAATGAGTATCATCTGTTTACTTGTGTATGTAAGTGTATTTCTATCTAGAGTGCCCCTATCATCATCACCCATGCCTTCCCTCAAGAAGACGGGTGCCATTTCCTGACACACTTGCAACAGAATAGCCCAAAAAATGAATAAACATATCTTCTCATGGACCAAACACACGGCCACCCAGCACTCTCTTCGTCCCTCTGGTATTGTGACTCAGGGTGCAAGAGTGAAAAGAAATAGAATTTCCAAGCAGCCACCACACCACTCCCATGCACACACAGTTGCCTGGCAACCCACTAACTGGCAGCTAGAATGCGGTGTGAGGTCAGAAATAGGTGTGCTCCGGCCTCATTAGACAAGTCCGACCCTGTTTGCCTACAGACTGACTGGCTACTGAACTATGGAGCCAGGACAGGACGTATGCAGTACAATGGAGATCACTATGTACCAGATGCCAACTACATACTTACACAGGTAGAGATGACCCTCTGGCAGGTCTTGGAGAGACACAACATGCCCCCCACCACATGGCCCCATGTATATACCCCACACTGGAGCCAGGAAACCTGTTTTACCGGTAATGAATGGGTTTATCTCTGTTCATTATCTACCTTCAGCGTGAAACGGAAAATGGAAAAATGCCCATATGCCTGCACAATCCCCCCCCTCCAAGGAACATGAGGAACATTTGGTCGCCAGCGGCAACCATATGGCCAACCCATTGAGGACGTTCCTGTAATTGTGGGGGTTACGACATTTCATATTTTCCTAAGCAACCACCTCTCTTAGCTCTTGGCTGGCCTGAATTACCCATCTTACATAGGTCCCTCTTTCTCAGACTCAGACTCACAAGTTTGCCTCATTAAGAACATTAGTCCATTGATACTGATGGCTACTGATGCAGTACTGCCTAATTCTATTTCTGCAGTTGCCCACACCAAGAGAGCTCTTTTTCTATCGCAGAGCATCATTTTCGTGAGAAGTGAGTGGGATACTATGTCGACTAGAACACATTCACTTTATCTTATGTCGTAAGTTAAGCTCACAGCGACATACTACTTCTCAATCCCGAACTGTGGAGGTTAAGATATCTAACTTTTGTCTATGCTCAGTTCCACTGAAGTAAAGAGGTTTGTCGACAGAGAACAGCAGTTGTACCAACACCCGTTAGTCTAGCGTCTGGCCACCTGACACCGTATCGCAGGTCGTCGTTCTTTCGCAATAGATAATGTCTCCGTATTCAAAACTTAGGAGAAGAAACAGTCACGGATGGCTAATAAACTTCTCGAAACTCTGTGAGAGCAGAGTACAAACTGACGGAAGCTGTGAGTGATTCAACATACAACCTAACAGCCTTACCACATACCACACCAACCCTTCACATATATTATATTGGCCACTGCACATTCGTATTACATCACCACCCATCCACAGCCTGTACTATACTTCAGTCACACACCATATCCACTAGTACAATGAGGCTTACATACCAGTATATCGGGCATACATATATAGTAGTGCATAAAGCTATTCACAATGGCAGTAAAATGCAATTATTTCCCTCTCCCCAGCACGTGTATACACACATACACTATATACCTCTGCCCAGTAGTGGCTAACATATCAACCTTTCCACAACAAAACAAAGACCTGTAGTCTCTCTATCTAAATCTACCCTCTCAAAGGGCTCCATTATAGAGCCACTATCTCTCATCCTAAACATGCCACCCTGTGGAGGCACAAAGAAAGGGGGAAACAGGCTGAACTATAACAGGATTAGCAGCACTTGAAACAAGACCTTCACACCACAACCTGGTTACACTGCTCTGAGTTTCCATTGCAACAGTGCCCTAGCGCTATGTATGGTCTGCCCAGCTATATAGCAACAACACACAGTGATGTAAGCAACCCATCACTGCATGAACTAACACAACAGATGTATGGGGCACTGAGGACCTGTACATAGCTCCTTATGTAGCCAGCAAAACACTGTGTAGAACACTAGAGTGGGCCCTGTGGGGAACAGTGTCCTTGAAAGAGATCCCTGCGTTTGATCCCCGCGGACCTCTTGTCCACAGCTTAGGCCCCATACAAGTTGCCAGGGACCTGTTTGCTTTGAGTCAATGTACTTAATGGCTATTAGGTGACTGTGGGTAAGAGTGCAAGTGGAACTAACCTACACCAGAGAGTCTGTTAGAAAGGGAGAGAGGAGAGGGAGGGAAAATAAGAAGTCTAAGAGGTCGAGGTCTGTGAGAGGGGAGGAGAGAGGAGATAAGAGAGAAAGGGTGGCAGCTCTGCCAGCACAGAGCTACTCTCAAACATGTCTTCACAAACAAAGGGTTCAGAGTTCATGCATTTTCAACGGCCCAACAGTCAGGGAGGAGGAGACACATGCCATTGTGTCAACACACGCACACTATCGGAAGCTGTTTTTCCTATCTTTTTCCAGGCACGGGCTAACTAGTGGAGGTATGTGGCAGGAGGCATGTGGCAGGAGGCAGGTGTGTATATTATAAGAGAGGGACATACATACAGGTGAACTATCAAGGGATGAGTGGGAAGGTAGAGACAATGGCCCATGAAATGTGAGGTCAAATGAAATGATCAAATGAAATGGCCTAGCCAGCAAAACACTCAGCTGGTTGTGTCATGTCTCATGAGAGAAGAGGGTGTGAGTTTCTAAGTTATGCAGAAACAGAGCTAGATGCCATACACAAGAGCTATGGGGTTCAGGAAGTAGCGTGTTTACCAATTAAACCTCATTACTATGTCCCAGATACACATGATAGACAGGGCATGCCACAGCTCTCCCCTATGCACTACTAGGACACCACAGGACCAGCAGGTTGGGGGGAATGCCACACATCTCATCCCTGGAGCCAATTACCCTCTTTGAAGTGTGTCCACTGGACTGAGGTGGTGTCAGTTGTGTGACTGGGCTGCCTCTCTCTGCTTTCAGGACATGGCAGAGTATTGCTACCCGGTTGCTGTGCAACCACAAGCTGTGGTCATCGAACTACAGAGGAAGCCAGCCTCCCTCACTAGGCGGCATACAGTTCTGGGTGTTTGGTCATGTACGTGGAACAAGCCAAGCTACATATGTCGCGATTTCTTGTCGCCGCGGCTGGTTGCCAGCTCCTGCCAACCAAAAACCAATTACCTCTTGTCCATCTTAGGCCTCAAAACACCAGTGTTCTTAGAGAGGTCAGAAGGACACCGGGATATGTCCGTATTAGATAGCCGGCTACCCACCACGCCCCTGTACCAGCGGCAGAGGCCAGCCAGCTCGGTACATCTCCAGCCACGGGTAAGGACGGCGCGCAGTAAGTCTACTCACGCACACAAACGAGGGACAAACCTGGGCGTTTCTCGGAGAGGAGGAGCCGAAGGAACCGTCCATTTGAAGTCCGGAACTCATGGTAGTACCGGGCGTCGAGCGCTCCCTTTGAGTATTGGTACACCACGTCTGTCCCATAGATAGGGTAGCTTGTCTCTCCGCGGCCGCCGCTTCTCACCGCTTCCTCTCTTTCTCTCTCTCCTGTCACAATCTCTGGTTACACAGCTATATCTGTCTGTTTACTGGAGACGGGGACTCTAGCAGCAGCAGATCAACAGATTGCCGCGAGAGAGCAGACGAAGGCGCAATACGTGCAATGAGTGGTCGTCGAGGAGACGTCAGTGTCGGCTTTTCTCATCTCCCGCGGCGGAGGGACACGAAGGAGAGCAGTCCGGCTGTTAGCACACACTCTTTCCAGCTACACAACACGGACTAATGACTGCAAACACGTACATACTCTTGCTCACGCACTCTGCCTTTCAAAGCAAGCCAGAAGATTCACCTCATCTTTTGCTCGTACGCGTGACGTCACAAAGTTCACGTGAAAATTAATTGAATTTTAGTGCTATTCGACCTTGCGCGCGCCTCGGAGGCCGGAGCCGGCTCGCTGAGGGTTTGGGCTTTTGCTGCTGTGTGTCTGCGATCGAGCGTCTCTTTCAAGGCTCCCAGTATCGGTAATGGCAAGTATCAGCGCTCTGAGGAGATGGTTAAGCGGAGATCGCTATCCGCAGGACGCCAGGAGACCGCCTGCAAAGGTGATGTTTTGACCCCAATTAGAGCGCACCGCACCGCGGCCGCGTCCGTTTGCGGGGTTTGTTTACATTGGGTGGAGGGCGTGTGTGTTCCCTACGTTGACAGGTGGACGATACGTACCAGACGGTGCAGGACGACCAGCCCCACAACCCGTACACTGAGGCCTTGCTGCTCCACGGTCACTCAGGTCCTGTCCTCAAGATCTGCAACATCCCGGGCAACAGGTGAGGAAAACTTTAGACAAATTGTAAAACAATTTATGCCATTTTACAAGCACGGCAGTGAAGGGGTTACATTTCTCTATTATTATGTCTATGAAAGCTGGTGTAACAGAAAAATGGTACTTAGGACTATAATATGGTAAATAACAGGCCAGCAGTGACATGATTTGTACACCAGGTTGGTATATTGTACGTATATACGCATGTGAATTAGAACACACATTTGTATTGGTACATAATATGTAGCCCTGCTACAAGCTAAGACGTTTACTCTCCCCCCTCCCTCTCTCTCTCTCTCTCTCACTCTCGCTCTTGAGAAGGTTTGTGACCCTGTCAGATGATACTCTTATCATCGTGTGGGATGCTGAGGTGAGAGGGAAGAGGTTAGAGGAGAGGCGGGGAATGTGAGAAGGGGAGGGTGTGAAGGTGAGAAGGGGAGAGGAGATAGGGCAAATGGAATGCAGCTACAAAAAGAACTCTTCCCCAAACATTCGCTAAAATTGGGAATGTCTCTCTCTCTCTCTCCTCAGAGTGGCAGTAGACTGCAGGTCCTGAGAGGCCACACTGCAGCCGTGACGTGTGTCCTCTCCCTGCCTCGCTCCTCGTCTGAAGAGGACATCATCATGACCGGCTCTCTCGACAAATCGCTCCGGGTACTCGGATAATGATCAGCTCGACCCATTTCCTGGTGTTGTATATATGAGAAGCGAAAGGCGTGTTTTACGATAGTGTGGATCCCCTCAAGCTTAAGAGGAGAGTAGGGACAAGGGGGTTACAGGCCTGCAAGTAAGGTATTACTCATTTTCATTGTTTGTGTAAAACCACAGCAATGCTGAAGGCCCATTAGCTATTGTTGGTGAGGGTACAATACTATAGTTGCATTACAGAAGTTGGCTACTACAGTATAATAATGGGGGTTACCCCAATCTGCCACTGAAAACTATGACGTATTGTGTTTGTATCAATGAAACTGTGTCCAAAACAAGTGTATACAAGTATTAGTCTGGGGGGGGCATCAGGGGAGGGGGGCATCAGGGGAGCATACCCCATTCAACTGAAAAGTGATGTGTATCATGGCAGGGTATGTAATGTGTGTAGAATGAACATCTGCCAGTTTCATACATTTCCTAACAATTTTAATATTTAAATGTTCCCAACATTCCTCTGTCCCGCTAGTTATGGAACCTGAACAGTGAGGAGATGGTGATAGAGGAAGGACCGTGTGTTAGAGCAGTCACGGACCACTCAGGAGCCATCCTGGTAAGTCAAACAGCTGCATCCTCCCCTACCTCGTCTTGTACCCAGACCCATCTCCCTCTGGTGACTATTATATGTAGTGGTTGTGCTGACTCGACCGTCTTACTGTTGAACAGCGAATCAGACTGCAGCATGCAATCCTTAGTAAGGCACCTGCGTAAACTGTACATGCGTCCATTTACAAAGAGTGATGACGTAACCTTTCTCTTTATTGAGGGTGCAATACTATGACCAATCACATTGCTCATTTTGGTCACATGACACAACAGTGCCTGACTCAGCTGGGACACGACCTGGTGTGTTCCGGAGGTCACGACCTTTGCCTGTGGGACACCAATGGAGCCCTGTTGGACAAGTTTGACAGGTGCACGCTCCCAGACACAAGTCAGTGCATGCCACTCCCACTATTCCGAGTCATGTGACAGTCACCTGATCGTCAGGTGATGTCCACACTGTCCTGAGACTGGAGACAGCTCACCTCAGTGTGGTGGCCGCCTCTAACTACAAGTGTCTCTGTGAGTTCCTCCAGCTGTCCTGAATACTGTCCTGAATACTATCCTGAATACTGTCCTGAATACTATCCTGAATGTTGTCTTGAATTTTCTGAAATCCTTGTTCTAATCTTTGTTCTTGAGCTTCCCTTATGTCTGTCCTGATGTTTATTGTCAATGTTAACCATTGTCCTGGTGTCCTACTCCCTGTCCTGATAATGTGTCATACTCCCTGTCCTGCAGCCGTATTTGACATTGAGAAGCCGATGTTGACGGACAAGGGCTGCTACAAGTTCATGCGTGATCAGAAGAGACGCTACCTCAACCAGTCCCACGTCTACCCCATCACCTTCCTGTCGGGGATCTCTGGTCAGTCCACTCTACCTACACCTCACTGCTTCATTCATTTCTTTGTTTCTCCCCTCCCCCTTTTCTCCGTCTTTGTCAGCATCATTCTTTGCCTCTGGGTGTCAGGGTGGCTCCATCATCGTCTGGTCCGTACAACACCTGAGTGCACTCAAAATATTCTACTGCCTGCCGCAGCCCCAGAGGTACGAGCCCTGAAACCACTCGTCCTGATTGCATTCCGTGGTCATGGTTTACAAATTGAAACAATTCCTCTAAAACATGGGGACAGATATTGGCATAACGAAACGTAGTGCTGGTCGCTATGATTTGTATTGCTAGCGGATGAACCTCTTAATTAGCACTAATTGGAGGTCAGCAGAACATACATTCCTTCTACCTCTCCCTCTCTCTCTCTCTCCCTCTCTCTCCATCACCCATCTCATCCCTCTGCAGAGAACTGACAACTACTGAGTTCACTAAAGTATCTTGCATTGAAGTTGTGGCAGAGGTAAGTAGTCCCTTATTGTAGGGCCGGTTTATACATACACAACACTATTATATCTGTACATGTATGCTCATATTGCTTCTCTTTTGCTGTCCCCTTACCATTCTACCCACAATAAGCGTTTCAACGATTTTGCTTTTTTTTGTCAGCACGTGCAAAAAAGAAATGACAAACCAATCATCCCTAATATTTGACTATAGTTGGAGGGTGGAATAGCAACACTTATCTTGTATATCCTCTACTTGTGTTTTGCAATCCCCTTATCCCTCCCGTTAACCCCTTGTCCACAGGGATATGTGTTTGCAGCTGTTGGCTGTGGATTCAAGATGTATGACGTTCTTGGACAAGAGAGTGAGTGTGGGGGAGGGGGTGTGGTGATGATGCAAGCCTCTTTGTCGTTGCTCAGAGGATGCGGCAGGTCACCCGAAGCCTCTGGTGTCTCACACTTGTGCCCACCTCTTGCCACTCACCTCTCTTACCTTCCTTCAGGACAGGTTAGCATCTCCATGGGTTCTCTTCTCTCTCTCCTCCTTTTATCTCTTACTATTACTATTGAGCGCAGTAACAATGTTGTTTAATATTACTTTCGACGTGCTGTGTTTTTATATTCTACCTACCTTCTCACTATTTGGGGTAGCAAACAAGGATTTAGTGGTGGAATATTTTCGTTTTTCTTAGAGTAAAGTTCCTGCCATTTAGTGTATATACCCATGCAGTCTGAATTTGCAGTGAAATCAGTGTTGTACTGTGCATCTATTCAGAGCTCAGCTGGTGACAGTGGCTGAGGACAAGACAATGAGACTGTGGGGGAGCCCTGCCGCACGACAGAGGAGAGAGGGAGGTGGGTGGAGTCTCTAGTGTCACCTCATGTTACCATCCACCCAACTGGCCAGAGGGGAATGGGCATGCAACGCAGGGGAAGTCGGCCATTGAGATGTTTATTGGACCAACCAGGTTGGTGCCTTGGTCTGTGTGTGTGTGTGGCTCTCTCTACCTGGTGTGTGTGTGTGTGTGTGTGTGTGTGCAGTCGGAAGTCATCACTACCGACTGTTCCACTCCTGCTGGGAGAACTTCATCTCCACGCTGGTGTCATCAAGGTTAGCACACGGGAAGGACGATCAGATGTAACACCACAAAAACGTTCAGCCTGAATTGGGCTTTTCATATGGCACCAGGGACTATGTTACCAGTAGTGTAGAACAGTGTTGGGGTGTCAAACATTGACTTTTCCCATAGTTCCTTCATGGTACATGTGACTGTAGATGTTTTGTGTATCAGGTATTGAGTGCACTGGAAGAGCAGGGTGTTGTAACTGGAGGAGATGATGGGTCCCTGGTCTTATGGAAGGTACACTCACAGTTCCTATTGTAGTTGAGTGTTCCAGTCTGTGAACTGAACAGTCTACTGCCACAAAACCACAGTTCCATACACTCTATGTGTGCAGAACTGAGCTAAAAACGAAAGCAACTCTCTTTTTGGCGTGAATAGCGAGCAGTTCCATTTTTTGCACACTTGTCCCACGTGTTTTAGAATCACGTAGAACATTACAGTATGTGTGGAGTGCGGGTCACGACTCACATTCAGATGACAAGGTGGGATCACTTTGCTCACCAACCATTGTATGTATGTAGGGAGAGAGACGAGCGTAGAGATGTTATATCTACATGTAGGATGGAGAGAGAGAGAGGGAGAGAAGAGATAGAGAGATGTATTCTTTCATACTGGGACAGCCACACGCTCCCGAGTGAAACTTACTCTCCAAGTCATTATACTATTGTGTGTTAAAATTGTTCACTTTTTAAATTTGTGTTAAAGTTATTATCCCTCTCTATGGATTGCTGTGGAGAGTTTTTTCAGCTCTGCACTACTGGGGATTGGGTGTCCTGGTCATGGATGAGCTACCAGTGAGATATTTTCAGCTGAGGGGAAAAGAGAGAGAGGGTATTGATGGCGGTGGCTTGGTGAGAGGTTGTTAGCTCACATTTCTCAGAGTTGCAGGAGGTAGACTGTGTCTTAGGTCTCCGTGGTGAGCTCTGTAGGACGAGGCAGCTGTCGAGTTTAGCAGGTGACCTACAGGACAACAGTTTAGGACAACAACACTGTTTAGCAAGACTGGGAAATAGTAACTATTGTCCCCTTCTCCTCGAGTTCTTGTGATTTGCACTTACGGTGTACCATGAAAACTGAACAGCTCATGCTATAATAATTATACATAAAAAGAAAAAAGTCTGGTAGACCAACTAACCTGGGTAGTAATCAAATGGAATGTTGTCTTTGGGCGGGGCTCTCACTCGTTGGGTGTGAGCTGGGCGGGGCTGGTACGATGTTGCCATGGTAGCACTGGGTGGAACCAGGGTGTGGTGGGTGTGGCCTAGGAAGATGGAGGAGGCAGTGTGCAGGTTGGAGCTGTTAACTTTGGCAGGGTAGCTCCCTGCTGGAGGCTGGGGGGAGCCAAAAACAGAGGTGTGTATATAGCTACTGCAGAATGGGTGCACACTGCTGTCAGCACTATATTATGGTTCTGTGCATGTGAAATTGCTGTGATCATGATCCATGCTGTTATTGCCATGATTATTCTCAAAGGAAACTATTTCACAAAGTGTTGCATTTTGACTGCTTTTCAACGAATATTTAGGGACCACAGACTGCACAGAGAGACAGCAAGAAGTTTGCAAATGTTTGTATATATACTACCCATGCCAGAATGTTTTACTGAAACTTCACCGGTGGTGGTGTGGCTTACAGGTCTGTGGGTGCTGCTGGTGGTACTGTGGGACAGTCTCTCCTTCACCCTCTCTGCTGCCAGGTCTCCCTGCGGCAGGAAACTGGCGTTGCGATGGATCCTCTTCTTCTCTTTCTCCTCCCTCCTCTCCTCCCTGGGCCGGGCCTGGGTGGCAGAGGAGGAAGCAGAGAGTGAGGAATCAGTCCCCAGGTGAACCGAGCTATGGAGGAATGCTGACACTGCAGCTGCTCTGGAGTAGGCGTGGCCAGGGGGTGTGGCTAGCACTGGTGGCTGGTAGGAGGCACGATTTGTTGTGCAATTTTCCTTGACCTTGCCTGGATCACCTGTAAACAGTTGGAGTGTTGGTTACTAACATCTACTACCTAGCGATTTACATACAGACCTTGTAAGGGACACCTTTAGTAGATTAAAAAAGTGTTCTTTATTTAGAGATGTAGCAACACAACAGCATTCGACAAAATCAAGTGTCCTTAATAAAGGGGAGTTTTTACTTCAGCCTCCTTCCACATAATGTAACAACTCCAGCTTGCTGTTAATGGGCTGCAGGGCTTTGTTCTCACCATGAGTAATGCTGGAGAGATGAGATGAGTGTGTCCTGCATGTCTGGACTCTGACCTCTTTCCCGATGTGACCACTGTATGTTGCCGAGTTAGTGGTGAGGGCTGGTAGACTTCCATAACTGTCGTCCGCCTTGCCTCCGCTGACACCTTAGGAAATTGCATTAGCTTCGGATTTTTCACATGAACTAGTGTACACGATCCAGTTGGACAAAACATGGCCTATGGATTACTGAGTAATTTTTATTGCGGTTTTGGCACAGTTTCTAAACTGCAATGCGTGACTTGGGGCATTCACAAAAACACACATGTTTCATTGATGGCATGCAGTCTTACCAGTGATGGGGCAGCAGCCAGCATTTTCCGTCACCACGTATCGCCTTCGCTGGCTCCGCAGACCAGACTCAGTGACACTAGGGCGACTTGTTGAAACGTTCTTTACTGAAGTCCAGTCATCGGCGGTGCAGTAGTGACGGAATCGAGTGGTGTCCGCTGCGGGTTTCTTCGCAAGGCCGACGACTTCGCACCGAGACGTCCGCTGGAAGTCCTCACCGGTCGTTGTGCTCCTCGTCTCCAGTCGGCCGTCGGCGGAGATGTGGTTCGAGGCGATAGTCAATTCCGGAAGATCGGACCTGCAGCCTGCGGCCTCCAGTGGAGTTTTCGTGCGTCCCCCTGCAGTGGCTGCAGCGAAAACAGCGTGGCTGTGCGATGCCGAGGGAAACCGTTCGTCTCGACTGCGGTGCATGACCTGGGCCGGCAGCGGAGGTCGAATGGCGGGAGTTCGTCCCGTCGCGCCACTGCCAGGAGCGCCGTACTCGCTGGTCGTGGTACAAGCGAAATCATCTCCGTTTTCCGTCCTGGCAGAGCATCTAGCTAGTCCATTTCCCAGCCGACCAGTGGATATTGAATACAGTGCAGTACTCATTATCTCTTCTAAATCCTGATTTTCTTCGGTCGCGGTCGCGTTCTTTTGCGATTTTGAATTCCCCGCGACGATGAAGATTTTTACCCATGCACCCGGCGGGAAAATGCCAGCGGCGAAACCCAAAAAAACCAGGCCAACACATTGATTGGTGGAATTAAGCTGTAAAATTGCACAAGCGTGTGTCGCTGCGCATGCTCGGCGGCTACATGCGCATGCGTAACGGCCCTGCCTGCCTGCGCCGTTTTCACTATGTGGTGGCAGGGAACGAGGCAGCTCTTTCGTCCTGTGATAGGCAGAGTTAGTTCAAGAAACTCCTGTAGAGCGCTGTGTGGCAAATGCATCGCTGCGCGTTGCTTCCCGCCGACTCTGTCCACTGTCCGGATTCCCCACCACTTGGTGTCCGGTAAAGCTGTCCGGACGTGCCTCTACAGCACCCCTGCGCCCAAACTGTCCAGTACGGAGCGTATCAAGGTGGTACTGCGGGAATATGGAACAGTGGCCGTGGTTTTCCACACTGTAATATCCTTAGCCTCACTGGGCACTTGCTATCTAGTAGTTGACAGGTGAGCGACCCTCAAGTTCAGTTGGTTACAACCTATCTCGTCTCCTCCTTACTCCGTATGTACAGTGGTGTTGATGTGGGAAAAGTTCTAGAGTATTTCAATGTACAGTCGTCTTCCACGAGCAAAGGAGCCTCAACTTTTGCCGTGGCCTATGTTCTGCACAAGATGTTTCTGCCAGTGAGGGCTGGAATCACTGTCGCCTCTGTACCACTCATAGTCCGCTGGCTCAGGACAAAGGGCTGGGTGAAGGGGGTGGCAAAGGTGTCCCCCAAATAATATCATAATTATTTAGGATAGCACCTTCATGATTAACCATACCATTCTGCTGTGTTAGCGCATGCGCTAATATATTTCTCGCGTGCGTTGTCCGCGGTATAATTGCATGGAGGCCTCGGAGAAGCGGAAGAGTGTGGAGAGACTTCTAGCCAGTTGCAAGGGCCTCGTGTCGGACGAGGATCAATTCCAGGGGAAGGAATGGAAGCTCTCACAGGTAAATAAGTTGGACTAGCTACCCCCTTACCAGAATGAGGTGCTGACTTCATCCGCAGTATGTAGTTGCACTGAGAAAACAAGTGACAGAGCTGGAGAAGTATTCGAGGTATATAGCGTGTCCTGTTCTTGCTCTGTCCTAGAGAGTGTGTATCATTACTTACCTGCAGGGTGGACCGCGATACAATGGCAATGTTCCAACACAAGGTGGCTGTACTGGAGGAGGTGGTGCACCGCCAGGCCACCTCTCAGAAGGTAGTGATTGTGGCTCCTCAACCACCATTCCAACAATGAAACCAAGTCTATTACAATACAAGTCTATTACTCAGTCTTACTCAGTGTATTACTCATAGACTGAGAGCAGAGAGTCTGAGGTGGATGGAGGGCAAACTACAGTACAAGATTCTCGACCAAAGTCACTTTATCAGAGAGAAAAGGAGAACCGTGCAGAGTTGTTTGGACGGGTATGACAAACATGCTGTATAACTGTGGATAGGACATGGAGCACGGAGCCTTACACACCAAATTCTAACTGCAGTGTACTCAGTTGTAGCGTTCGTATAGTGAAACTGTTCTCTCTCTCTCTGTTATGCAGTCTGGAAGTGGAACTAGTAGTCTGAGACATAGAGGGTGTGTTTGTTGGCTCTTGGAATATTCCAGTCCACTACCATGTCTCTCTCTCTCTCTCTCTCTCTCACAGGTCAGGATCAACAGAGGCAGCCAACGAGCGTCACCGTAGGAACCAGGAGAGTATCGCAGAGGAGATGATGGGTCTGGCACGCAGCCTCAAGGAGAACGCAATGGCTGCCAAGACCATCATTGTCAATGATAACAAGGTCTACTTTATTCAACTCTGGGGGGATATTTGCATCACTCTTTGTAGTGGCAAGGAATACAGAAGTGATGTTAGAAATGTACCAACCCTCTTCATACATCTTCGTGTTGTGTATGCAGCTGTTGAAGACGACAAATGAGCAAGCAGACCAGAACATAACGGCTGTGGACGCACAGACAAGTCGCGTCAAGGAACACAACAAAGGATGCCCCTGGGGAACGATACTATTACTGATTGCTGTGTTTGTCATTTTCCTTTGTATGGTCGTCCTCATCCGCTTTGTACCCAAACCAAGATGAATTTCACTTAATTAGAACAATAATGCATTGAATGTGAGTGTTATTTATAGACGGGGGGGGGGGGGATGGAAGAAAATTATTGGTTGCCTTATAAAACTTACTTGATGATGAAACGTTACATTATGCAGCATAACATGGACATGACATCTTACACACTGTGCTTGGTGTGGTAAGAGAGGGCTACAGTTATAGCAATAGAAAACCAGTCTACTCTTGGCTGTTCCAGGAGGCAACTATCTTCCAGGGAATGGAGAACTCGCGGGCGGCCTGCTGAACCGAGCCCACTTCTGCCACACGACGCATCACCCGCAGTTTGAACTGCTCGTCGTAATCCTCCTCCTTCACTCCCGTCTCCTCCGTAACCCCACCCCCTTCCCCTGCCGTCCCTCCCCCCACCACCCTCTCCTGAACTATGTCAAGAATGTCCCCGCTCCCCTCGGGGATTGAAATTTCTCCCCCCTCCAGCGATACCTCGGTCTCTGTGCCTCCCGTCGCCAAAATTTCAGCCCCCGTCTCCATGACGATTTCGTTGCCTCCCGTGGTGAGAACCTGGACCTCGGTGGGCGTGGTCGAGATCATGTGACTTGGAGGCATGGAGATCGGGACCCCCTCGCTTTTCTCCACACTCAAGTGGACGATATCGTCGCCACTCTCGAGTTGAGCGGGGCCCACCACTGCCCCCTCTCCCCCCTGTACCATCACTTCCATCTGCCCCCCAATTACCCCCTCGTCAACAGTGGCCTCAAACATCTGCTCTGAATGTTCCCCCTGTCGTCGTGATGGCGGCTTCAACGATGGGCTCGGAAATGATAACTTCTTCAGTGAGGAACTGTTCCGGGGCTCCACTAGCCACACTGGTCACTGTCTGCGTTGTCTGGACCACATCTGATGTGGTGACAGAGAGAGAAGAAGAGGGGGTGACCGGAGTCTGGGGTGTCGATTGTGCAGCTGAACTCTCTCCCTTGCCTCCACTCATCTCCTGGTGGGCAGAGGAGTGACTCAACTGGTTGGCAACTGCCTGAATCAGACTCTCCGCAACTGGCTGAGTGACGCTCGGATTGTTCGACCCCGTGATGCTCTGAGCTATCTGCGTCGCAGCGGAAACAACGTCCACTATGCTCTGCACGGTTGTCGAGGTGATGTCCTCTGACTTTACGCTGGCGACAGTAATTTGTGCGGTCACAGGGGTCTCCCCCACCACTGTACCCTCTATCACCACCATTGGTTCGTCTGTCACCACTTCCTCAGACACAATTTCTTCCACGGCAACTCGACCTGCTCCCTCCAGCAGAAAATCAGCACTGTCGCTCTGCTGCAGAGCGGCCAGCTGTGACACTGCCTCCTTGCTCCCCACCCCACCACTACCACCCCCCTGGGTGATGCCAAATGCATTGGCCAACTTCTGGAGGGCCTCTGCAATCTCGTGATCGTCTGCTGAGAGAGACGCTAGAGCAGTGGCAGCTTCTTCCTTCGTGGGTGTGACTGGAGCATCTTCCGAAGGCCCCGCCTCCTGGGACGACATCGCCGCTTGTTCGCCCTCAATCACCACCTGCTCGTCGTAGACCTGCGTCTCCTCAATTATCTCCTCGTTCTCCTCGTCTCCATCGGTGCCGTATGTCTGGTTCTCCAAAGAGACGTTGTATTTCCCCTTCCAGGCCTGGAGCCATATCTTGGAGGCCTTGAAGTCAGGGTTGGCAGTCAGTTCCATGGCTCTCTCCTTCAGCATCTTGTCGTTGACAATGTCCCCGGCTTCCCAGCGCTCCACCAGCCAGGTCAAGAGGAGACGGTCAAACTCCTCGTCGTTTTCAAGAAGTGACGTGTCGTCGTAGCTGAGAGCTCGTTTCTTTGACAGTCGGCGTTTCTTGGGAGTGCTGTAGGCCGACACCTCTCCCTCGGGGAGTAGGCGGAGCTTCAGTGGGGTCGCGATCTCGCCAGCAGAGGGGCTGCAAGTCTGCTCCTTCAGATCCACGCAATGCCGTTTCTGCCACTTGACGAACCAGCCAAGGGAGGCCTTGAAGTCTGGCTGGAGACTCAGCTCCCGGGCCTTTTCGCGGATCATTCCGGAAGAGAGGCTGATGCTTTGTTTCCAGCAGTCTTTGGACCATTCCAGGAGCCTCGTGTCTAGAGAGGTGTCCCTCACCTTCCTACCCTGCCCCGGTCGACGGTACACCGCGTTCGAAGAGTGCTCTGCCACGCTCGAGATTACGTCCAGCTCTTCTTTCCAGCGTTGGAGACAGCGCCGGGAGACGTCTAGCTCCAGCGAGGCCTGACTGGCAGACTCCAGCTCCATGGCTCGCTGGACTGCGTGCAACTTGAACGCTGCAGTATACGACCTCTTTTTGTGCTTGAGAGCCTCCGCTTCAGGTGTCTCGTTGTAGTCGAACCTCTTCTTCCAGTTGTTGTACCAGTTTATGGAGGCTTTGAAGTTGGGGTCAAATTCCTGGCCAATTTCAAAGGCTTTCTGTCGGATTGCGTTGGGTGTGACGACCTTCTTTTTCTTTAGCTGTGCAACCACCCATTTATACACCTCGCTGTCTATTGTACTGCGATTGTTGGTTGAAAAACTCATTTTCTTCCTATGTACCTGGATCTGGTTTTATCTGTAAGAGGAGAAAGTTTGTCCGCTATTACAGTGTGAATAGGATATTTCCGTATACTTCCGGTTACTGCTTGGTTAGAAAATGGCGCACAAAGAAGGGCTCTTATTAGATAAAACACTCTGGTTAGACCGCACCATTCTAGCGTCGCTCTTATTAGAACGCGGTAGAAATGAAAGGGCGAGTCGCGGAGACTAAACGAAGAGGCGGCTTTGGCCGTCTTCTGATCTCAAGGAGCTCACCCGTAGTTGGGACGGGGCGGTAGCTATCGCTTTGGAAACGCTCTGCCTCGGGTTGTAGACTTGGGACGATCTCGCTCGCTTCCACCGATCTTTCAGGCGATTCTGGGTTTGGAAAGAGACCGAAAAAAGCGCCTTTCTGTACGGGCACAAAACGTGACTTGTGGCTTTCTTCACACAGCCAAAATACTGCCTCTCGTGAAAAAAATTGCCCGGCTCGGTCGACCGGCCGGCCGGCGCCAGAGCCGAATTGGTAAGCGGCGCTGCGCTAATGCGCGCGCACTGTGCATGTGGTGACGGATTTTGATTGGTGGTCAGTTTGCGCGCGGGATTCGGTTACCATGCATATTGCAGTGCAGCTTCTTTTTTCATATTGACTTCTTCGACACTGTGCAGAGAATCTGTTAGAAAAGGGGAAGTGCAATTCTGCAGAACGAAATTCCACCACAGTGGAGTATGAATAGACTCCTTTTCTTGCAGCTTGCATTTGGGATTCTCATAGGTAATCAAAACAACCGTAGCTGAATGCTAGGTGAACTGGAAACTGTTACTATTGTATTATGTGATTTTTCGCAGCCCCGCTATGTACAGAAGCTCTGCAACTTGTTTTGGATGCGACAATGAGTCCGCCAGCGACTCTGCCTACGGAACCAGCGGACATGATCTACAGCTCACCGGCAATGGACCACAATCTGCAGCCGGTCCTCGTCCGCGTCCTCGACGACAGCGGAAACCTCATCACCGACTCTGTCACTGTATTCGCTACGACCATTGATACAGACAACGTGGGCGCTTCCAACACAGGCGACATGTACGACGGGCAACTGTGTATGCACAGGGAGTACTTTAGCCGTTTCGGCTGGTGCCGCTACCTCACCGATGCTACCGACAGGCGAATTGGTGTCGGAACGTGCGCAGACGAGCTTATTTGCGACAATACGGACCCGAGCTACCCACAAGGGAAAGTGAATACGACCTCAGTCAATGGAGTGGCCGAGTTCCCTCGACTAGTGCACACTACTCCGGCTCTATCTGCCCACCGGAGACTGCGGTTCAATGCTGAACACGGAGGAGACTCTGCTACCGTCGACAGCGAGGAATTCGAAGTCCATCGTGAGTTGCTATACATTGCACATGCGCATTCCACAACCATTTTCTTTCTCCCTTGCAGTGGCAGCGACAGGAATGGAATTCGTGTCCCCAGCAATGGGAGACCCAGGAGCCGTGACCGTCAACCACCCCCTTAGCTTTACGGTGAAGACTGTGACCTTCAACTCTTCCACCATGATGACTGAAGACCTCACCACCGGCCGACACTCTGCTCTCAACATTGACCTCACCATCTCCTGGGACTCCAAGAGATTCTATTTCTACTTTCCAGCCAACTTCAATGTGAACCAGTTGTACAGCTCTCAGTACATGCTGAGCGGGACTGACACCACGGAGAACGGTCGATTCGACACAGTTATCAGGAGACAGGCAGTCGCGGGACAAGCCACCTTCACCGATGTTCGGATCACAACTGAAGCAACTGACATTAGATTTAACTTTACGCAGACTCTATCGACAGCTCCGTGGGAGAGGAGACCTCCCGAGTATGACACTGATATCTTCTCCGGCAGGGTGGACGGAGTCCTCTGCCTGTGGACTGAGACCGACAACACCACCTCTAATGCTGTTCTCCTCACTCCTGCCTTCAATGTCACATGTAAGTTGAAAAATCTACTCCTTGTATAGTTACACAGATTTCTGTATAGAGGGGAGCCAATTGATGCATAGAAAATGAGGAGGTTTGCTTGGAAAAAAACTATCATTGTTTGCTTGTGTGACTGTAACTAACAATCCATGTTGGAATCCTCTACATCAAATGTTCCCACTTATTATCATTCAATTTTCCTGGTCCAATACAGCTGCTGCTGTTGACACTTTTGAGATAACGAGTGACTCTCTGGCAGCCTTCCATGCTTCAATGGACGCCAACTTTCCATTTGACACTCCACTGGTGGTTCGAGCTCTCGACGACAGTGGAGTGGTCATCACAGATGGACCTGATGCAAACCTGGTCAGTTGGTATTGGGATTATGCACAGCAGTGGTAGTCCACTTGCCCGGAAAACGTGGTGGTGGGTTCAAACCACACTGGTAGAGACAGAGACTTATTCTTTCTCTCGTTCTGACTCTTGCCATTTCTTTCAGTCTACCTTATGTAAAGCATTTATCTTTCCATGCGCCAGGCTGTGACAGTGACAGTGGACCCTCCTGGTACTTGTCTCTCAATGGACAGTGGGTTCAACCTGACTGCAGGGGTGGGCACCTTCCCCGGCTCCATATGCGAGCCAAATGTCCAGGACGTCCAACTAATGTTCACAGTCACCAGTGCTGTGTCAATGGCTGACGTACCCACTTCCTCGTCTCCCACTTTTAATGTCACTGGTGAGAACAAGATGCACGATTCTTTAAATCTCTCAACACTGCTGAATGTACACCGCTACGTTGGATGCAGGCAACTTCCTAATTGGAGGGTTCTTCTCAGTCTATGCTGATCTCCTGGTGACAGTAATGGCTCAGGCGGCAGTTGAACTCATCAACACTGGACACGACTGGGAACCTGAGTTTCACAGTAGGCCCTTCTCCATTCTCTAGCTTTGTTCACTCTCTCTCTCCGCCAGACTCTGGCAGGACTCTGGACATGCAATTCTACTATCTCCAGTCGACTGACATTCAGGAGACCCTTGATGCCTATGCCTCCGTCAAAGCTCAGAATGATGTATAAAGAGAAAACCTTTTGCAAACGCTAGAGTTATACCATTTGCAAGAGATTCTTTCTCAATACTTATACTAAAGCTCTCAACCATCTTTTTGACTCCAACACTTGTAGTACATGTACTATGCAGCAGTAAGAATGACTTTTTGCCTCGTGTAGGATCCGAACCAGCCAACAATCAGAGCTCTGCTGGGATCATCATCAGATGAGGACACCATCGCACTCAGTCGAGTCTCACAGGCCGACAAGATGCCCATCATCGGCTACAAGGTTGAGACTGCTGACCTCTCTGACAAGGTATGTAACGCTAGAGAGAGACTTCCGTCGGTCTTACTCATTTCTGCCTGTTTAATACTGTCATACTAATTACCCCCTGGTTCGCAGGCAACTCATCCCTACTTTGGGCGAGTGTCATTCAGTGCAGGAGCCAGGTTCGAGGCTGAGGCAGCTTTCCTCCAGTCACACTACTGGGACAAAGTGGTGAGCCATTCACAACTCCTGCCCATCTTACGTAACTACACAAATGTGTCATGTTTTGTGTAATTTCCGTGCCACCTATTTCTCTCCAGATTGCCATCAAGGACAGTGCAAATCCTCTCCCAACAGTCATGTACCAAGGATTTGAGAGATTCGACATCAAGATTGTGCTTGAGGTAACACCCAACCCACAGTCTCTCATCTTCTCCGCCAGACATTCATTCCCACTGCTGTCCCCAGGTCACCATTCCCTCCCTGACAGAGGAGCCAACTGACATGTCGGCTCAGCCCAGACTCCAGGACTCGGTGGCTCAGACCATCTTTGACGCAGGGACCAAGATCATTTACAGCAACGTCGTGGTCCCCACTGACATCTACCTCATGAGGGAGGCCATGCGGTGAGCTGTCTCCAGTGATTACTGCACAATTCCAGGGTCTTCCTCATTTTCCAGACTGGGGTTTTCTCCTATGCATGGTTATGTGTGGATCCTGAACACTCTGAGCCAGAGTGGCTTCCCCCAGGCCAACGAGAGAGGAGAGTGCGCCACTGCCGTAAGCCCTCTACACTGGACCTACTCTACAGTTAACCCCTTGTGTCTTCTCCTGTAGGTCCCGACATGTACTACTGCCTTCAATTCTACCATTATCATCATAAGTGGTGTGGATGCCGATGTTGACAGCTGGGTGTGGACTGACCACCTCCATGATGCCTACCAGCAGGTGGACCCCACCGCTGTCGGTGGAGCCACCATCTTCAGATGGTCTTCTGTGAGTCTGTCTTCATCTTCTTCTTTTCTTCTTCTTCTTCTTCCTCTTCCTCACCGCCTTCTTTCGTGTCTTAGTCTATGTCTGGGTTTTGTGTTGGTGCAGATCCTGGGCCAGCAATCCCAGGCTCACGATGCAGTGCTGGCCATCATGAAAGGAGCCATGACTCTCATCAACAATGAGGAGACTATCACAGCTGATAAACTCATGCCTGCCATCAAAAATGTAAGCCTGGGCATCCTAAATGGTATATTCCACCCTGCACTCCGCTCGACTACCTTTGTCTGCTCAGAATAACTTCACGGGAGGCAGTGGTCTTATCGTATTTGATGAGAATGGAGACAGAGTTGGTTTCTCAGGTACGCCAACACCCTTCACTTCCATCACTACTGCAATGTTCTCCCTTCCCCCTCACAGCCAGTGTCTACAACATGTTCCCCATCATTGACCTACCTGGCTCCCCAAATGATGTAAGTACAGGTCTAATACACAGTCTCTGTGTGCAATGCCTGTCTGTCTCTCTGTGTGCGTACGTATGTGTAGATCTGGTACCTGGCCAGCTCCTGGGATGTGAACGCTGTCACTGACGAAGTTGAGGAGACTCAGTTTTCTGAGAGAATCGATCGCACTGGAGCATACGTCCCCACAGAGTGGGCCTTCCCTCCACATGAATTTGCCAACACCAGAAGGTGAGGGACCACTCTCAGCTCCTAGAGAGCTCTTCGGTCAGTTCTTTCCATCCTCAGAGTGATGGGGTACAATGCTGATCTTGGTGCCGGGATCCACGAGCTGACGAGAGAGGTCCCAGCGGCCTACCATTGTGGAGTGGACGGCTGCGGCGGAGGACTCGGTACTGAGAACCCTGACACTGTCCTCTACTGGAACCACGGGACCTGTGTCTCTCAGGATACCTGCCTGTCAGTCATTTTTCTTTGTTCTTATAACCATGGTATACCTACACCTCAAGATGCGTACGAATGTATGGGTTGGTAGTGTTTCCTGGTAGAATGCAATTAGCTTGTCTTTACATTGTTTGCTTTTGATTATTGGGCCTGGGTAGAAAAGCTTTTTCACTGCCTGATACACCTCTTCCTCTGTTTCAGATGTAAGAATAAGAACGGGACAGAGGACCCTGGCTATGCAGGAGCCTCGTGCCAGCAGATCCTCTGCAACCCTCCCTGTCGCAACGGAGAGTGTGTCAGTCCAGACGTCTGCCAGTGTGAGGACAGGTGGAGCGGAGATGACTGCGGCACCCCTCTATGTGACAAGTAAGCCGATAATGTGACTGGGAAAGAACCACACTTATTCACTCTTTTCACCTACACAGCTCTGGGTGTGATCCAGCACATGGGAATTGTACAGGTCCCGACATCTGCACCTGTGAACCTGGCTACTACGGCTCTGACTGCTCCAAAGCCTGCACTTGCCAGAATGGCCAATGCAGTGACGGTATAGGAACACTGCCTGCTACACTAGTTGTTCCTCTTTGTGATCGGCATTCTCCCTAAATCAGGCCAGACTGGTAACGGAGCTTGCTCAAGCTGTGACAGTGGCTATGCTGGAGCCAACTGTGACATCTCCATTCCTCTGGTGGTGGTTCCCACTGTTGTGGTGGTGATTGGCGCCATCTCGGCCATCATCATATTCACCGTCTGGTACATGAAGAGGTGAGACAGTGTCCCCTCTTCGGACGGTTGTTGTGAAGTTTTCTCTCAACCTCGATCAGAATGAAGTTCCGTGCGGCTCTGGCCAACAATGACTGGATGGTGGATTACGGTGACGTCATCATCATGGCTGATGAGAAAGGAGCTGCAAGCATGGCCTTCCGCTCCATGGTCTCAATGGCAGGAGACAAACAGAAACAAAAGTCAGCTAATAAATGAACGATAGAGAGAGTGTGTGTGTAAGAGAGAATCTGTTGTCTTCTTCCAGGGATGTGGTTCGGAACCAAGGCAAGTGGAACAATCACGAAGTGGCCATCAAGCTCCTGGACAGAGACAATGTCCCAGTCAACCTCCAGCTGCGACTGGAGATCAAGGCCATGAGGGACATCCGCCACAAGAACCTGGCTGCCTTTGTCGGCGCCTGCTGCTCCTCTCCCAATGTCTGCACCCTCATGGAGCTGGGGCCCAAGGGGAGTCTGGATGACCTACTCTCCAGTGACTCAATCAACTTTGACTGGAACTTCAAATACTCACTCCTCAAAGTAAGTCTTGGCTCCAGGTCTGCCAGCTCCCTCAGCTCCAAAATCATTCCAGGACATCTGCCGCGGGATGAACTTCCTGGCCAGCACTCCAATCAAGTCCCATGGCCGCCTCAAGGCTTCCAACTGTGTGGTGGACAACCGCTGGACCCTCAAGATCACTGGTAAATGGAAGAAAACACCAGGTTTCTTGCTTTGGCCCTTTGCCAGTCTTCTACGACTCGTAATATCTGACAGAAAGGCAAGGTGGTTTATATAGACGAGAGCATAGGTGCAAACATGAAGACATGATTTGGCATACTGGTTAATGAGACAGTGACAATCAGAGACAGTGACAATCAGAGACAATGACATCAGAGACAGTGACAATCAGAGACAATGAGCCAATGAAAACCAGACAGCTAGGCTCTGGTGCCGTGGTGCCGACTATGTGTGATGTATCATGTTTTGTTGAAGTGGACAATGCAAAAGTTTGCCCTGACAATACGCTCACAGGTTTCCTTTGTCTGTTTCTCACTAGATTACGGAATGCATTTATTCAAGGCAGACCAACGTGGAGTTCCAAAGTTCAACCCAGTCCTGGGGAGACAGGGCGATGCAGAGGAGGGCATCGAGAGCAGTGTGAAGGCCTCCCTGCTGTACACGGCCCCGGAGATCCTGAGAACTGGAGTCAGTCACCTGGACCATGTTGGGGCGGGGACCCTACAGGGAGACATGTACTCCATGGCCATGATCATGGTGGAGATACAGACCCACGAGGCCCCCTACAACGAGTACCTGGACTATGTCGACATTGACGACGTCCTCCAAGCCATTGCCGGACAGAAGAACATCAAATCCCTACTCCCACCAGTAAAATACACGTTTCCATAACCAATGAAAAAAATGCACAGAGTCGTTTTCACCCTTTGGGCCCTGCACATAGCAATTTCACATGTTACCCTCCAACAGGCCTGGGTGAAGAAGGGATCAAGTGAGGGACTGAGGCCGACACTGCCCGAGGATGCCGATCCGGCCTACGTGGCTCTACTGGAGACAGTGTGGACAGAGGACCCACTGCAGAGACCTTCCTTCACCCACCTCCTGAAACAACTGGAGGCTCAGAGTCCTCAGCGTGGAGACCTCATGGACAACCTCGTCTCAATGGTAATGACAGGAGTGACAAATAGTCCTAAAGTTTCCCGTCATTTAAATCTAACATACGGGATAAAGACAATGAACTACAAGCGAATAGAACAAAGTTGAAATAAGGGTATGGAAGGCCAATCAGAAGTGAGATAGAAATAAAGACAAAGAGATAAGGTGCCCTGTCAGTATTACCAATCTCTGATACACCATTGGTGCTTCCTTGGAACGTATTCTCTCGCCCCTCTTGTGTTTCCCCATCACAGCTGGAGAAGTATTCGACCAACCTGGAGGCCATAGTGGCAGAGAGGACCAGCGAGCTGGCGGCAGAGAAACAGAAGACGGAGGACCTGGTGTGCCGCATGCTGCCCAGGGCCATCGCGATGCAGCTGACGAGAGGAGAGACTGTGGCTGCCGAGACCTTTGAGTGTGTCACCATCTACTTTAGGTGACGCCACCCCCAACACTTCCCCTGTGTACACCACTTTATGTCTGCCACGTACAGCGACATTGTGGGTTTCACGAGTATCGCTGGAGCCAGCACTCCACTGCAGGTGGTCGACCTTCTCAATGATCTCTACACCTGCTTCGATGCCATTGTTGACCATTTTGATGTGTACAAAGTGGAGACCATTGGAGATGCCTGTGAGTCACGGCACAATGCAAAAGTTTATGTCCTAGCGACTGTGTTATGTACTGTGTGAATGGTAACAGGTATATAGCATTCAGTCCCTGTACATATGTTGAGTTTCTAATCTACAGACATGGTGGTATCTGGACTACCACTCCGTAACGGAGACCAGCATGCTGGAGAGATTGCCTCCATGTCTCTCCACCTCCTCTCTGCCATCCTCTCTTTCACCATACGACACATGCCAGAGCAAAAACTGCAGCTCCGTATCGGCATGCACTCAGGTGGGTGGGACCCTAACACACATATATACACCTCTGTACACCCAGTGATGTGTGTTAGTACTGTACGCATGTGAACCCCCACAGGGCCAGCTGTGGCTGGAGTAGTTGGTCTGAAAATGCCGCGATACTGTCTGTTTGGAGACACTGTGAACACTGCCAGTCGTATGGAGTCGGGAGGTCTTGGTAAGACACTCACTTCCCTCATATCAAGTGTAACTTTGACTCAATCCGTGCAAAACGCCAAATTTATGGTTGGTTCATCATGTAGGACTACGTTGCATTGAGTAACCAAAAACATTTCGTGGCTCAAAACTTAGTCTATTTTATGGAGGTTTCCGCAAAATAGTGCCCTACATGATGTTGGTGGGATAATTATGTATGCATGGTAGCTATGTGTGTTCCAACTCAGCTCTGAGGATTCACATGAGTGAGCCGACAGCAGAGCTACTGAAGAAACTGGGCGGCTACACCCTTCAGGCCAGAGGAAAGAGAGAGGTCAAGGTACAGGACTATCTTCTCCATGTGAGAAACCAGTGTCCACTGACGAGTTTGTTACTCAGGGGAAGGGAGTTATGACAACGTACTGGCTGAACGGGCAGGAGGGGTTCAACCGTCCACTTCCGACAGAAGATATGGCCGTGTCTGCCAGTCAACACGAGTTCAAGTAAACATTCTCACCAGCTAACACAGTTCTATTGCTAATCAACTAACCCCTGTTATCATCACCAGTCATAGTTTCAGTCTATCACCACTGGGGTTCACTGCATATACCATCATCAGTGAAGAGTATTATTCACAGAGTGCCGCGTAATACATTGTATATACAGATAATGGAACTGTGTTCAAAAGGTGCATGTATCGTACAAAACCAATACGAGGCATGGGACAAAGGTTCAAAGGAGTGGAGTGAGTGATTTATGTGAGGAGAGGGAGGGTGGGAGGTGAGTGAGAGCGCGAGGGCCTCTCATCATGTCTTCTTCTCTCCATTCTCCTGCAACACACAATCGTGTGAGAGTATGACTGCCAGAGGCATGTAGTGTATAGTGTTGGGGTTGGTTGGTGAATAGGCAATTTGGACCAATCCCCTAACCTCAAACACATGTTACATAGTACATTCAGAAAAGCCCAGTCGCTAGACCAATACAATTTGAGTCTATATTGTATATCCAGAGAATACTGCCATGGACACACACACCTTGTCACGAGTCTCCTCTCCAGCTGGGTCACTGGTCTCCTCCGTGTCCAAAACCTTCACCTTACGACCTCCCTTCACAGCCCCCTTACCCGGAGCTTTCCTTTTAGTGCCCACCTTTACTGGGACCTTTTCCTCCTCCTCCTATGTAGAAAGTTACAGACAGCATAGTAAGAACATGCCAACAAACCAATGCTCACTCTCTCTTCCTCCTCCTCCTCCTCCTCCTCACTCTCCTCCTGACTGTCAGGCAGAGGAGGCTTCTCGTTCATATCCTTTGGTAGTTCTCCCTTTTCCTTGAACACCTTTACCTCCGCCAGGGCTTTCTGTGACAGAGAGATATCTGAAGTTCAATGAAATTGTAGAGTGGTTGGGACTTACAGCAAAGAGCTTACTCCTGCTCTTTGTGTGGAGTCTCTTCTTCAGTCCAGCCTCGTACGACTCTATTTGTCTGGTGCTGGCCCACTGGCTGTGGGGGAGACAGGGTGTTTAACACACCTTTTGTGTGTGTGTGTGGGTGGTGGTCATTCCAAACTCTCAGTCTCACATGTCGTAGGTTCCCAGGAACCTGACGAGGCTATAGTTTGGTTTGGGAGGCTCTCTCAGGTAGTCAGGTATCAGCTCATTGGATGGGTCAAACACCTAGTATGACAGCACGGGGGGAGAGAGGAGGTTGGACAGCAGGACACGAGTACCGGACTAACTTTAGCCGGCCAGTGAACGAATCCGGACACTTTTGCCCACACTAGGTCCCCAACTCCCCACTCCTCGGCAGAGGCTCTCGCTGGAGCGCTGGCCTTCTTCCTGGGCCTGGCGTTGCTCGTTTGCTTCTTACCGCCAGTTTTCTTGGCCTCCACGTCGATCTGGAGACCTCCGTCATCACCAGATGACTCCTCGGGGGCTGGTTTTGGCCTCTTCTGGCCCGCCTTCGTCGTCTTTGCGCCTTCCATTCTTTTCTGACACGTGCCAACCGCGGACGGAGAGGGTGATAAAAAAGCGCGAGTTCAGAAATTCGAGGTCAGAGTTCACCGCAGGTGGAACTGTTGAGTGTCCGGATTGCGGATCCGGTCGACCGGAATAGAAATGATGTCAAAAACTCCGGCCAAAAAGAGAAGAAAGCCTTTATTCCGGACAGAATCAGAGGTATGCATAGTAGAACTTCAGTACATCACTGATAGCTACATCAGACACTCTCAGGAGTGTGTGGAAGACGGCGAGAGTCAGTCGACTGGTCTTGCTGGGCAGCCAACATCAGGAAACATCCTCAGGTTTTACCGCCACATTACACACACACCATTACCGTCTAATTACCGTCTATCTGACAGAAAACGACGACAACGACGTGCAACCAACTTCAGTCATCCACTTACTCCTGCTCGCTGCAGTGAAGAAGAAGAAGAAAATCTTGGAGGAGATAAAAAGGAAGAAGAAAGAAAGAAACCCACTAGTCAAGATGGATTAATTGGAGGGGCCGGGGACCTCCTAGAAGATGGGGGGTCGTGGAATGCAGGGGGGCTGGAGGGAGAAGAGGAAGACTTACTGAGAGGACTGTGTCCAGAGGACCTCAGTTTCTCTCTCAACACCTCTAACTGTCCCCAGACCATTCCAGTCAGTCCCAGTTCCATACCAGGAGATGGTGGCACAGAACGTGGACAAGATTCCGGGCACATTCCTCATTCCCCGGTCTGTGTGAAGATGGGAGAAAAGAGAGTGGAGGAGGGAGATAGCAGTCTCTTTGGTCTGCCACCACTGGTCAAGTCTCTACTGAAGGAACACAGAGGGATCTGTCAGCTCTATGGTAACAATTATCATTTGGAATTAGCTCCATTGATTGTAGTCAGTCGAGCAGATGTCAATTTGTTTCCTTACAGGTCATGTCACTGACTTTGATTTCATTTTAGCGTGGATTTTTGAAAACAACTTTTCTGCATTTCAAATTTCACCCTCCATTTGTTGTAATACTTGCCACACTCCTCTCTCTCCCGTATTTTTAATTTTATTTTTGGCCGTAATAATGTAAGAATAATGTATGAATAGAGATATGTATCCATTGAGCTGGAGACAGTGTTGTTATGTGCCGCAGACTGGCAGAAGGAGTGTCTGTGTCTCCCGAGGGTCCTGGACGGAGGAAACCTCATCTACTCACTCCCCACGGGGGGAGGGAAGACACTGGTCGCTGAGATACTCATCCTCCGACAGCTGCTTCTGCTTCAGAGGGACGTCCTTCTCGTCCTCCCCTACGTCTCCCTCGTCCAGGAGAAGGTGGGTGTGGTCTAAAACAAGCCACACCCCTGTGACTGTGGTAATGTAGACAGCATTGTCAATAAGCATTGTAACACTGCGTGTCGTAAAAGGAAATGTGGCAGTGTAATAGAGGTAAAGGAAACCTATTGCACTCTTACACTGGACCATATCGATCTTTAGTAAAAATTTCTATGTTTTAACTCTTATGCACTGACACCTTCCCTTAATAAATATAATAACTTGTTTATTGTTAGTTGAGAAATGTATTACCAGAGGTGCACCCGTTCCTGGACTGGCCACAGGTGAGGGACCTGACTCCATTTGCTCTGGCGCTGGAGTTTGTGGTGGAGGAGTACGCAGGGGGTCGGGGGAAAACCCCTCCAATCATGAGACGGAGGAAGAAGGTGGTTTACGTGGCAACCATTGAGAAGGCGAGCGGATTGATTAACAGTCTGGCAGAGAGTGGTCGGCTGAACTCCCTCGGTCTGGTTGTGGTGGACGAGGTGAGGAGGAGGGAGTTTCCTCTTCAGGGGTCTGTCTTCTTCCCTACTGCAGCTACACATGTTGGGAGACGGAGGTGTGAGAGGGGCCACCCTGGAGACTTGCCTCACCAAGATACTCTGTCTCTCCAGTGAGACAACTATATGTACATGTACCATTGTGGTTAGGTCCACTGGGACCACTGTGGTACTATACCATTGTGGTTTGGTCCACTGTGGTACCACTGTAGTACGGTTCGGTGAGACCACTAGTATAGTTAACCAAGACCACTGTGGTAGTGTTTCAGAGGTTGTCCGTATAAGGAAATTGTGTATCAGTTGTGTTGTCTTGGCAGGGAGTATTCAGGTGGTGGGGATGAGTGCTACTCTCTCCAATATCTCAGACCTGGCCTCCTTCCTCAAGGCCGACACCTTCTCAAGCCATTTCAGACCTGTGAGCTATTATTATAGTAATGCACAGAGACTCCGTGTGACCTGCCATCAGTTAATGTGTACATGAGTGAGAGTGTACTGTGCCATAGCACAATGGTTTGAGGTGTGCCTTTGTGTTGTGTTGTGTTGTTGATTCGAACCCCTACCAGCTGAGTTGCCCTGGTAGCTCAGTTGGTAGAGCGCTCGCCTAGACCGCAGAGTGTCGTGGGTTTGAATCCTACTCAGGGCAGCTCTTCTTCTTTTCTTTGAAAAGAAAGAGCTGTCCTGGGTGTAGTTGACTTGTTTGCCTTGCCTTGCCTTTCTACCTCGCTACCAAGTTGTTGAGACATACACTATTGTGGCAGGTGGAGTTGAAAGAGTGTGTAAAGATTGGAAGAACGGTCTACTCAGTAGAGGCCACCAGTGGCAGCAGCACCGTGTGTCTCTGTCCTCACAGAGAACTTTCTACATCTGGTCTACAGGTATTATTAGGGTCTGTTGGTACGCAGCAACACGTTTCCAGCCTAGTACAATTCTACAGAATCTATTGACTTCACATAATTATGGGGGACTCTCCAATATTAATAGCTGTTTCTCCTATTTTTAGCTGTATAATTGTGGGAGAATGGCTGCATGGCATAATTGGCGAGTGGACACTGTCTCAGCGGTTTTGGGTACATTACAGTGACGTTGCTAAAATCAGGTAATTCACCGATCATTTCCCCCTATTCCCCAGGAGAGGAAGTCCGACCCTGACCAGCTGGTCCAACTGGTTACAGAGGTTCTCCCCCAGTCCTGTCTCGTGTTCTGTGCCACCAAAAGACTGTGTCAGAATGTTGCCCTCCTCCTCGCAAGACACCTCCACAGGTGTACTACATGCTATGGTCTCTCTCTCTCTCTACTTTGCTGTTTGCCAAAATATCTTTTTCTTGCCAGCTCTTTGGGTGGTTAGTGGTGTAAGCAAAACTCCCCGTTCGCTTTTTTGTATGCAGATGTAGTGTTTGAATGTGACACGTATTTAGAATTACACGAAGCGTTGTTATGCTATTAACAGCGCCATCTATATACTCATACAGAAAATTACGCATTTCAGATAACTAGGTGGGCCTGTTTCACTCACACATCATGATTTTGAAAATGAAAAACATTTTTAACTCTTTGTCGATGGCCAGGTCCCATGTGGAGGTAGGTTCTGGTCCTCGTTCCGGACTGCTGCGGTCTCTGGGGGTGGAGGCCGAGGGGGTGTGTCCCGTTCTGACCCAGACGGTCCCGGTGGGTGTGGCCTATCACCACTCGGGGCTGACGGCAGATGAGAGGAGACTGATAGAGGAGGGGTTTTCCCGTGGAGAACTCAATGTTCTTTGCTGCACCTCGACATTAGCTGCCGGGGTCAACCTCCCTGCCCGACGGTAAGCCACACCCACCAATTAATACCCCTCTCCCTTTTAGTGGTATTCTGATTACATTGCTATACCAATGAGGTATCTTATCTTTTCCTGGAAAATTAAACCAGAAACTCAACTCAGTGTTCTAATCAATTAAAACTCTGCCAAATTAAATATTCTGCTTGTGTGAAGGTTGCTTTGGGATGCACGAATCCGAACAAAGCAACACGTGTACAGCACTGCCATATATAGTCTCGCCTGGTAACTGGAAAAGCCTATGTATGAGAAATGGACACTCACTAAAATTTTCAATGAAAAGCACTAAAGTGCAAACCCTCGGTATGATGGCTGTTTAGGGCCATCCATTTCCATCTACCTCGCAACACTATATAGAAATGTGGAACCCATACACAAGTGTGGCGCACCACCACAATTGATGGTCTTGACCATGCATCAAAAAGAACAGTATGTTATGCCATGGATTATTTTCGATAGGTTGAAAAAATGGCCAGCCCCATTTCTGTTTGAGGCCCAAAAAATATATAAGGTTGAAAAATTGCCAACCTTTCATCTCTCTATTAATTTTCGTATTACCTGTGGATTGTTTAGTGCAAAAAAATAACCTAAGGTTGAAAAAAACGGCCAGCTCTTCATCTCTCCAGACAGACGTCTATGGACGCAGTGCTATGCCGGAACTATAAGCTGCCCTTTGAGAAACGTGGGTCAGTGGTAGATTTGTGGGTAAGGGGTACCAGAGCTGTTCCCAGCCAATGCTCTGGACCATCTGACATTTTAGTGCGGGATCGAGGATACGAACCCGCTACTATGGTGTCAGTCCCCACGACTCTAACCACCTAGCCACTCAGGCTGGCCTGGAGAGGTGATGAAAAAACGTTCCATATATACCAGCACTCCTATTACATCATTGTAAAAAAGGCGCACTGCACCCGGGATCGAACCAGGGACCTCAGGATCAAGAGACGGGGTGCTTATCCATCAGACCACCACATTACTTGAAAGCACTAAAGTGCAAACCCTCGGCGAAGTATATAGCTCGCAGAGATTCTGACACGGGCTAGCTACAGTAGTAGATAGCACGCGAGAGTCAATACACGCCATTCGTTGTGACTTCTTGTGCCTTCTTATGCCTTCAAGATAGACAGAGCAAGCGGACCGAGGTAAGCCAGCCTATGCTAAATATAAGCGCATGCGTGTTAACCGCCAGCGAGACTATATACCGGCCATTTGCTATACAATGCTGAAAGCGCTCTAGCTTTGCAACGGAGCAGTTTCAGAGAGAAATTTCTGACCTTCATTGCCCGTTATGTAGGTCGTATCCTTTGTGAGACGAACAAACACCCGAGAAGTGAGATTGAGAGTAACAGACAGCAGACAGACAGCAGCTAGACAGACGTAACCCTCGCTGCGCATGCGCGCCGAGGGTTTGACTGCACACAATGTATATACCTTCTTTTAGTCTCAATACATGTGGAAACTAATTTGAATATGGGCATTGGCAAAGTGTCGCTGGAATTACACTCTTTGCCAACTTCAAATTATGGAAAAATTTCATTAAAAGCTCAGTTTGGTATATTATTAAAATTTGTCCCCCCCTGAATTTTTGAAATAATATTTCTTACACTCCTTCCCTCCCTTTCTCTCCCGTCAGAGTATTACTGAGGTCTCCGTACATAGGAAACCAGGTGCTGAGCCACAGTCAGTACAAGCAGATGGTGGGTCGTGCAGGGAGGAAGGGGTTGACTGAGTGTGGAGACAGCATTCTTATCGCAAGCCCCTCTGACAGAGATAAGGTATGTACTGTATGTTCCCTTGAGTCACTCCCAGAAATGAGGAATTGGTTTACAAGACCCTGAAGAAAGTCCTCCCTCTCTCTCATCTCTCATCTCTCTGTGTGTGCAGGTGATAGATCTTCTGGCCAGTCCATATGATCACTGTGACAGCAGTCTCCTCTCAGAGGACTCCGCCCTCTCCTCCCTCATCCTCAGTCTAGTTGGACTCAAGGTTAGTCACCTGATCATCACACCGTGTCATGTGACTGTCACGTGAATGTCACAGTTGGTGGCAACGACCTCTGACCTCCAGACATTCCTCCGAGCAACTCTCTACTACCAGCAGACACGAGACCACACCCACTTTCTCTCCTGTTGCCAGAAGATGGTTACTAGTCTCGCTGCAGAGGGATACATCACCATGGAGACGGTGGAAGAGTCCCAGACGAGGCTAAGTGCCACGCCCCTCGGTCGGGCGGCGGTCAAGGGGAGTATCCCTGTCAATCGGGCGGGGCAGGTTTACCGAGAATTAAGCCACGCCCAGTCTTCCCTCGTTCTCTCCACAAACCTCCACCTTCTCTTCCTGGCCACACCCACTGACCCCGCCCCCTCTATACGCCCAAACTGGCTGGTCTTCTTCAAGACAGTTGAGTGTGATGTTGTTAGTTAAGCCCCTTCTCTAGCTCCGCCCCTCGCAGCTGACAAGTCTTGGGGAGGAAGAGGTGAGGGTGGCAGAAATGGTTGGAGTCAGAATGGCTCTCCTCAGTAAACTGGCCACTGGATCTGCTGCCTCAGTGGTAAATGGGTGCACATACATACATACATACATACAGTCTTCTTTTTTCTCTTTTCTTTATCTCTCCTTTGATTTCCCTTGCTCTAATTACAGCACTGTAGTATTCCTAACAGCATGCACAATGGCAATTTTATGTTCCCTACAAATGGTGTCTCCCCCTCTCCCCCTCCCAGTCAGAGGAGCTGTCCCAGTTCTACCAGAGGTTCTACCTCACTCTCATTATGCACAGACTCGTGGGGTCACAGAGGTCAGGGGGCGGGGCCAGCGAGACAAGAGGGGTGTGGTCAGTAGCGGAACACTTCCAGTGTTCGCGTGGCTTCATCCAGTCTGCCATTACCTCTATGGCTTCCTTTGCAACTTGTCTGGTTCACTTCACCAAGGTGAATGACACTTTAGCCAAAACACACGTATTAATGCCTCCATTACATAGTCAGATAGTACTTACTTTCAGTCTGATTGGCAGTTTCACTGGCGCAATGACACTATATAGACTGCATTAATAAGTATTGAGTAGCACTGTATTACTGCTTCATTATTTGAGCTTAATCATGTTCTTCAACAAATTATACATGACGAGCTACGCCTTTGAACACCCCACTCGGGTAAACAGATCTCTTGCCACCCTATACCCCATCCTGCAATGTATGTTCCTTCTATACTAGGACATCCACCCACACCATTACTAACAGGTGTAAACAGATCTGTTGCCACCCTATATCCCATCCTGCAATGTATGCTCCTTCTATACTAGGACAGCTGCACCAGCTGCTCCACCCACACCATTACTAACAGGTGTAAACAGAATCTCTCCACCTCTCATGTTTCTGACCATAACTCTCTTCCAACTGCCTCTTCCCAGAACCTCTCTTTCATATGTATCGTAGCCTGCAGCCCCTTCTCACTAATATTGCCATGTACTAGCCAACAGACCCATCATTTGTTTCCGAACATGGGAGTAAGCCAAACCAGCCTACACTACTTTGACTATAGCTACAGTTTTGCCAAATGTTGCTCCAACCTTCTATAGTTTGTAGCTTGTTATAATATTATGTACAGGAGTTGCCAGAGCTGTGGGCTCTACATCTGCTGCTGCCTTCAGTGGCCGAGCAGCTGTCTCTCTCTGCCTCCGCTGACCTCGCCCCCCTCCTGGAGATCCCTGGAGTTAGACAGGTCTGTCCCTCCCTCCCCTTCCCTCCTTCTCTCACTCCTCACCTCCTCAGGGACGTGCAAGACAGCTGCTTCAATTGGGGTACTCCACCCCGGAGTCACTGGCCGGGGTATCCCCCACCACTCTCTGTGAGAAAGTACCCCATCTCTACCCCAGACAGGCACGCAGGATCATCCAGGCTGCCAAGGTTCCACCAAACTGTGTATTGTCCTATTTGGCAGGGGTTGAGGTCTTGTGTGCATGTCTCTAATAGGCTCTGGTGAGAGACAAGGCTGAGGTTTTGTTTGAAGAGGCTGAAGACTTAATGGCAGGCCTCACTTAGCTGTGGAACACTTAGCCATGGGACCCCCCTGTGACCCCCTGTGGAACACTTAGCCATGGGACCCCCCTGTGACCCCCTGTGGAACACTTAGCCGTGGGACCCCCCTGTGTATGTTGTGTGTGTGTGTGTCTTTTCCATGTGTATGTATAGTTCGTTAATCCATCCATTATAACTGTTGAGTAAAGTCAACTGCGTCGGTGCTGTAATTAAGCGAAGGTTGATTAATGATAACCTCAGGTATTGTGATTACAGACATATATGGTAGATAACAGGCACAGACCAGTGGTAGGAGATAAACCGAAACGAAACCAGTATGTGTGACTCTATATCACGGCATGCACCAGGCCGGGTGTAGCTACTTGGAATGAATGTGTATCCTGTGTACTGGACTGGACATTCCAAGTAAGAAGCCTTCAGAGCACAGTGACAGCCCTGCCTGCCCGCACCCCTGCCTTTTTTGGACTCCACTCTCACAGGTAGCTGACTCATTAGTGAGAACCAAAGATGGTGAATGGACCAATAGATTACTCACCAAACCTCTTCCTCCACTGTGTTACTAATCATAGTGTGTATAATCTCTTCAAGAAACCTACGAACATACATTATGACACCAATGTAGCACACAATAAGTACGCATCAATGAGAAGGCAAGGTAAAGGCAATTCATCATGAAACAATACCATCCTATACCTGCAGTGCATGGCGTTGCGTATGGCGTTCCTGATAAAAATGACACTGGCAGAGTTAATGGAGATTCTATTGGAAGGCTGCCATCATATCAAACATCAGAGTATTTAGCCCAAATCCTCCTCTTTCTCTGGCAAATCCACTAACTGCTGCTATTGTCCACCCAGACAACACCTATCCATTAGCCTCTGATTACATTCCTGTGGTCACTCAACCTCTAATTGCATTCCTTTGGTCAACTCACCATGCTGAAAGAGATACATAATTCCCTGTTGGCTGTGAATTGTTAAAGTGCTACTGCCAACAAGTGGGATGATAAGAATGTCCGATACTGAAAGCTGAACTCTGAAATTAACTCACTCTTGCTCCACCCCTGGCACGCTGCCCATGTTGTGTCGCCCACTCACACAGGAAATGACTTGTTCAGCGATCATCTACCACTTCCTGCCTGCCACTTCCTGCCTGCCACTTCCTGCCTGCCGTGCTGTATAAAAGACCAGCAGAAACCAAACTCTGCATCTAGTGTAAATTGCTTGTCTCCGCAGCAGTTGACGGGATAACTGGATATTCTGCAGTTGTGGTCTCTCATTAGCTAGCAAGCATGGCTTTGAGAGCCAACACTCTGCTAGCTGCAGTGGTCTTTGGACTACTGCAGTTGTACTCTGTCTCTAAAGGTCAGTTACACAGACCCATCCTCCACAGCAAACACAGATATAGCTACCAACAATCTCGCTTTTGTAACAACAACAACAACAAATTGAATCTTGGTTTTGCCTGTTTTTTCAGCCCAGCCGATGCTGAATGTTCAGTTCACAGAGGTAGACTTCCAGGCAGTTGAGGGAGAACTACAGATTGACTTCCGTCTGACAGTGATGGGAGCGGTTCCGGTCCAACTGGAGCTCATGATCACTCCCTACACCTTTGATGAGTACACCGACCAGATAGGCAGGCCAATCCCAGACATTATTGCCGACAGAGCCGATGGAGTCAACAGAGCGGAGGGTGAGCTGCAACTGGGTCCAATAGGGAGGGGGAGATGGGGTGTGAATTAAGACAGCACTTGGAAAAAGAGTTGCCCTGCAGGGGTAGGATTGCAGTGCTCTAGAAATTTGCCAGTGAAGGGTGATGGTTGGTCCAAAGATCAGCTACTGCCTCTTTATCTCACAGAAACCTTGGATTTTCCACGCCAACCTGTGACAGTCACCATTCCTCCCTCTGACGTCACGCGTCGTGACTTTCAGGGGTCGGTTAGCATTGAAATTGACATAATCAACGAACCAGAAGAGATATTCCTTCTTCTGGTGGAACCCACGGAAGATACTGCTAATGATGCTGAGGCACCAAATATCATCTTTGAAAACAACGGCTTGACCATTGCTCGGATTGTTGATGATGACGGTCAGTTATTTTATTTTCTTGTTTCCACATTTTTCTTGTTCTTTTTCTTTTTACTCATTTTTCTTTATCCTCCTGCTTCGTTCCACGTCCCCCCCTCTCTTCTGTCCCTTCTTCCCTGACAAGCTTTTACCAATTTTCTCTTCTGCTCTTTTTCAGAGGTCTCCTTCCAGTTTGAGCAGGTACTGTACGATGTTAGCGAGGCAGATGGCCAGCTCCCTGACCGAATCCAACTAGTCAGAGACATCGACTCGGAGCTCGAATACACGTTCAACATCAGTTTGAGGGGAGGAGACACACCAGCAACTGAAGGTCTGTTTTTCTCTCACATCTTAGGCTCCTCTCTGACATGATGTCCAATCCCCCATTTATTTCTCTCAGGAGACGATTTTGTGTTCATGGAAGACTTAGTCATCCTCTTCCCACCCAGTGTCAACAGGTTGGTTGAACAACCCCCCCAGAGTGTACCATTCCTGGCAGCCTTCACTGGAGACCCATTAACATCTTAGGGCCCATCAGTGGCTAATGGTTTCGCAGTGTACAGAAATTAACCCTGTTCTCTCCACTGACCACAGGGTGTCTATCCCCATCAACATCCTACCAGATGACCAGGTGGAGCTACGTGAAGACTTCCGACTGGCACTCATATCACAGGCTGACAACCCCTCAACCAACATTCGCATTGGACCTAACATCAATACTCAAGTCGTGATCAATGATGATGAAGGTAGGGCTTTGCTCATCAACACGTTCCTTGACATAGTAGTGTTGATTGAAGATTGGTAGATGTTGGGTGATGTAAGACCTAACCTTCCACCTACAATAATACTGCCTCTCATTAATTATTTGGTGAGCTTTGATGGAGATAGAGTCAGAGGAGAGAGAGCATTAGCACTCGGCAAGAGGCAGCATTCCTCCATTAGCGGATCTCTAGCATTGTAACTGGGCTGCTGAAAACATTGGAGCCACACCATGACAGTGTTACAGTAACAGAGGCACAGTGCTCATGTCCGCATGGCAGCTTGCCAACCTTCAGAGCACATCTCAATCAAACAAAAGCCATATTAGTGTGGTCACACTAACGTCGTATCAAGATAAACAGCAAGGAGCAGTCTTGCCAGTTACAGCAGCAGTTATAGCACCCAATTCAGGGGTTTATGTTCTGAGGAAAAACGACTGTTGGCAGAACGTCAGGTGTATGTGTCCACTTGTTTCCTAATAGAGCCCGACTGTGATCTGAGCAACCGTAGCACCCAGAACCCACCAGTGGATTAGTGACCAAGTCCAGTAACCTAATCTATCTGGTGTCAGCCAGGCCCGTACAAGGGAGCGCAAGGCCTTGGCCGGTGTCAGATAGGACGATCCCCAGCGACTTGGACTCAGGGTCACTAGCAATTGGTCGAGGCATTGAGGTGCTGGCCTAGCCTAAAACGGCTCTGCCAGAGAGCACTTGGGCAGTGAATGACACAATCAACTCTGAGCATGTGCCAAACAATCACTGAGCATGTCACAGTGACAAGTTGAGTCTGAAAATTTGATTAACTAACCATATTGACCGTGAGATTGTTTTATGGGTGTGTAGCTCTGTATGCACACACGTCTGAGACCCAGAACCCTCCCATGATGTCTGCCACAGAACCACCCTGTCAATAGTTCCAGTTTTACCACCTCTTATATACACTGAGCAACTTTGTTTGCGTGACACAGAAGTTTTATGCAATGTATGGGTATGATGGTCTGTGCTACCATTCCCATACATTGAAGTTGCATGTGATGCCTCACACAAGTCATTCTGTGTATGTTGGCTTTGTCTTACCATTGTCCAACCCTCTACCCACCGTCTAGTGCTGAAGGTTGGATTCGACCCTGACAATTTGGTGTTCAATGAGGACGAAGGAGAGGTCACAATCGATGCAGTCATCCTCAGTCCAAACGTGGCAATGAACGTCATTGCCGTCTTCAATATCTTTGCTGAACCAGGAACAGCAACAAGTAAGACACCTTCTTTTTTTAAGGTTCTCGTCATCTTTTCTCTCTCTCCTCTCTCTCTCTTATGTTCCCCCTCCCTACCTTCCTCCTTCCTTCCCCCAAACAAGACCCTGAAGATTATAGGGCAATGACACGGGAAGAGGCAGAGGATTCCATAAACACACCTCAGCTTTTCCTCGACAGTAACAGTCCTCAGGCGCGTACATCGATCACCATAGTCAATGATACTGTGGTAGAAGGACCAGAAACACTGCAGCTGATGTTTGTCTTCAGTACTGCGTTCACCCCAGTTGAGGTGGAAGGTTGCCCGGTCAACATCACCATTCTGGACAGACGTACGTACAGTATGCACACGCACTCCGAGAGTGTTCGAGGGTATAATTTAGATTTGGAGACCTAAACTAGTATTGTGGTTTTGAATGCTGTCTGTTATAACGGGGGGGTGGTATGTGTGTGTCCGCAGCGGTCAACGAGTGTGAAGAAGGTATTGACAACTGCGATGCAATGGCTGAGTGTAGGGATCTGGCAGATGGATTTGAATGTATTTGCCCCCTTGGGTTTACTGGTGACGGAACCATCTGTGACGGTAGGCACCATCGCTTGACTGGTGCCTAATACAAGCGGCTCGCGGTGCCATTTCACAGATATCGACGAGTGTGAACTGGAGCTAGATAACTGCTCACCCAATGCAAGGTGCATCAACACCGTAGGCAGCTTCAGGTGCGAGTGTCTGCTTGGGTTCACAGGAGATGGCATTGACTGCGAAGGTACAGTCCAGCAACGGCAGTCTTAGTTACGCCTCTTTTTGCCTCCAGATATCGACGAGTGCGAACTGGGCCTGGACAACTGTGATCCCATCGCCCGTGTGTCAACACCATAGGCAGCTTTCGTTGTGAATGCCCTCCTGGTTACTCTGGCGACGGCATTATTTGTGAAGGTCAGGCTGCACCCGGTTTTCTGTCTGGGCCCCGTGCTCACATTCCCATAATTCCATACTCTCATACCACTGATTCAAAGAGCTCATAAAAATGTGTGCTATTGATTACATGTATTTTCATGACGTGGACTAGCGACAGGCATACATCACTCTTCAAAGGTGGGGTATGAAACTCTTGACAATTTCAGGCGAGATGAAAAAAAAACAGCTTCTGTCGGGAGTCAAACTCAGGCAAAGTGACTGGAAGTCCAGTACACTAGGCAATGAGCTAAACTCCTAGACAAATGCTGGTCTCTCTCTCTCTCTCCCTCTCTGCCAGCGTCAACTATTGAATTCTCTAACTTCAAGCTTTGCCCTCACAGAAATCGACGAATGTGTTGAAGATATCGACAACTGCAACGACAACGCCCGCTGCATCAACACTCCCGGCAGCTTCCAGTGTGTCTGCGAGGAGGGATTCACTGGTGATGGGGTGATTTGCGAGCCCAGTGAGTGGTGGCTAGCTCAGGCTGTGGGCTTGGGAGTGGCAGGGAGAAAGGGGAGAAAGGGTGTAGAAAAACTGGGTTGGCTGGGATGGGTGTCGAGTGAATACAAAGAGAAGAAGATGGTTATTTTAAGAGAGGGACAAAAGTATCCGTTCTTCCTCGCCTTGGTCTTCCCCGGTAGTGGCGATGCATTTGGGAGCATATCAATGTTGGAGCACTCTGGGCTGAGGTATACTACATACCTGTCATGGAGACAGTGTATACAATACAAAAAGTATGGTAGTGGGAAAGCATGTTGGGTAAGCAGATGTCAATGGTGGAGCATCTCTGGGAGGTATACTACAATCCTTGTCATGGGAGTTATACAATACAAAAGTATGGTAGTGGGAAAGCATTTGGGAAGCATATCAATGTTGGAGCATCTCTGGGAGGTATACTACAATCCTTGTCATGGGAGTTATACAATGCTGGTCACTGTGGCACTGGGAGGTATACATGCTGGTCACTGTGGTACTGGGAGTATACATGCTGGTCACTGTGGTACTGGGAGGTATACATTGCTGGTCACTGTGGTACTGGGAGGTATACATTGCTGGTCACTATGGTACTGGGAGGTATACAATGCTGGTCACTGTGGTACTGGGAGGTATACAATGCTGGTCACCGTGGTACTGGGAGGTGGTCACTGTGGTACTGGGAGGTATACATTGCTGGTCACTGTGGTACTGGGAGGTATACAATGCTGGTCACTGTGGTACTGGGAGGTATACATTGCTGGTCACTGTGGTACTGGGAGGTATACAATGCTGGTCACCGTGGTACTGGGAGGTGGTCACTGTGGTACTGGGAGGTATACATTGCTGGTCACTGTGGTACTGGGAGGTAACACTCTGCACTGACTAACCCAGGGAGAGAAGGGAGACCAAATGCTGGTCACTGTGGTACTGGGAGGTATACAATGCTGGTCTCATATATACTGGGAGGTATATAATTACACTGGGTGATTGTGGTACTGGCAAGGTGTTGGGAAGGGGTACAATGCTGGTGTCATTGTGGTACTAGAATGGTGTATGTACAATGCTTGTCATTGGGGAGGTATATACAATACTTGTCATTGTGGTAGTTGGGAAGGTAGAACAATGGTAGGCCATTGCGTTTGGATATACAACAATGGTGGTTGTGCATAATATTGGGCAATGTGGGTTGGACAAGTGTAAAAATGGAGAATGGGCTAATTGGAGTTGCCACTGTGGCCTGGTAAAGAGCAATGTGGTTGCGGAAATGGGCTAGTGTGGGTTTGGTGCTGTAGCATTCTCAAGCAGTCTCTGGGTCCTAGAGGGAAGCATAGGGTAGAGGAATGGGGATATGTGGTCCACATTCTGCCTTACTCCCCCTCCAGTCCCCACCCCAGAGGTCGTTCCTGCAGACCCTTCCTCCAATCCCCCACCCAGTCAGCCCCCAGTCTCCCCATACCCTCCAACATGCGAGCCCTTCAGGGTCATAGTCATGCCTCGCGTCATACAAGATGAACCGGAGGAAACCACCGGGACCACGACAAGAAGAACCACAACAAGAAGGACCACAACAAGAAGGACCACGACAAGAAGGACCACGACAAGAAGGACCAAGAAGAACCACAAGGAGAACAACAACGATGGGAAATATAAATGACGAAATTATGCAAATACTAAGAGGAAGAGGGCGCAGATCTCACTCCAGATCTCGTGGCAGATCTCGCTCCAGATCTCGTAGCGGAACCGGCACACCACCACACAGACACTCCCAGTAGCCAATGACATGCCAGTTCATTTCATTACTGAAGAGGAGCTTGCCAACCTGCCCCGAGATGACCCTTGTCTTGAAAGTAAGCAGCAATACACAGGCTGAGTTCACAGTGGGTTGTATTTCTCATTGTGCTGCTGGTGTTGCAAAGAGACACACTATTGACACCACATGCAGGACGGCGCAATGGGGCAATGGGATGTACTGTAACCCTCAGCACATCTCAAACGTTCCTCTCACATAGTGCAGAGCTCCCATTCTTTCTGTCCCATGTACCAGTTCACTCTGTTTCTCACTGTGCTTGCAGTCATTCGGCTGGAACCAGTAGCAGACACCCCTGATGAGGAGGATGATGATGGATGCAACACGCGAAGAACATCACGAAGAAGAACAACGAGACGGCGAGGACGCAGAAGCCATAGTCGTTGTAGCAAGAAAAAGACCACAAAAAAGAAGACAACGAAAAAGAGAAGATCCTAGACTACGTCTTTGCTATATACCAGAACTGTACAACCCAAAAAAACTGACTGCATCAGTAGCATAATTATTTTCATAACCTGTAGCTGGCTACTGTAGAATTCTGTGTGTTATACAATTCTTCAGAAAACCTCCACATACACACACACATATAATGTACGTTTCACGAACGCTAAGCTTCACACGTGGAGCACCGCTGCACTGCTCACTGTACACGTAGAGATGTATATTCACACTTTCTCTCCCTCTTTCTCTTGCAGCGATAGATGAATGTGAACTGGAGTTAGACAACTGCCACCCGGACGCTAATTGCACCGACACACCTGAGGGCTTAACGTGTGAGTGTCAGGATGGTTTCCTTGGAGACGGAGTTGAGTGCGGTGAGTATAATACATACTTTCCTTACAATACAGTGAGAGCCTTTCAAGGGAAATAAGAATTGCTTTATATGGATGGTCTGCAACCATAGCAACCCCGTTGAAAAAATTAGAGAAATTTCCCTCTGAAAGACAGTAAATATAATATACCAAATAGTGAGAAGGGAGAAAAATGTGGTTGATGAGCCTTTTGCAAGTTTTCTGGACAAAGGTAGTGGCTATTGAATTGAGCATTCAGCAATCTGTGGACCTCAGCCCAATTTATGTTTGGTACCAAAGCACGACGATTTACTCCAGTTGTCTGGGGGAGATAAGAGCAGAGTTCGCTGGTGTATTTCAAACTCATTTCTCCTTCTCCCCAGTGCCAGAGCCAGAAGTGGAGGACCCCCCAGAGTGCATTCCACGTGCGACAGGAACCAGAAGGTCCCGTCACAAACGCAGACGCAGCAGACCACGTACACGTACCCCACGCTGCACTGATGAATGTGAACTGGAGTTAGACAACTGCCACCCGGACGCTATTTGCACCGACACACCTGAGGGCTTTACGTGTGAGTGTCAGGATGGTTTCCTTGGAGACGGAGTTGAGTGCGGTGAGTATAATACATACCTTCCTTACAATACAGTGAGAGCCTTTCAAGGGAAATAAGAATTGTTTGTACTACTTTATATGGATGGTCTGCAACCATAGCAACCCCGTTGAAAAAATTAGAGAAATTTCCCTCTGAAAGACAGTAAATATAATATACCAAATAGTGAGAAGGGAGAAAAATGTGGTTGATGAGCCTTTTGCAAGTTTTCTGGACAAAGGTAGTGGCTATTGAATTGAGCATTCAGCAATCTGTGGACCTCAGCCCAATTTATGTTTGGTACCAAAGCACGACGATTTACTCCAGTTGTCTGGGGGAGATAAGAGCAGAGTTCGCTGGTGTATTTCAAACTCATTTCTCCTTCTCCCCAGTGCCAGAGCCAGAAGTGGAGGACCCCCCAGAGTGCATTCCACGTGTGACAGGCACCGGGAGAAGGTCCCGTCACAAACGCAGACGCAGCAGACCACGTACACGTACGTCACGCTGCAAAACCCCAAAGACACCAAAGACACCAAAAACACCACAAAATCCACCCACCTTGTTGGAAGAGCCAGTGGAAGACACAACTCGAACAAGGACTCGCACAATAAGTCCAAGTCATGGTACTGCCCCAGGAAGTGGTACCCCAAGATCTCGTACTCCAGGACGTGGTACTCCAAGATCACCAAGACCTGTAGCACCAGCCGATGCCCCAGGAAGTGGTACCCCAAGATCTCGTACTCCAGGACGTGGTACTCCAAGATCACCAAGACCTGATACTGAGGGAAGTGGTTTACAAGCTGATACCCCAGGACGTGGTACCCCAAGACGTGGTACCCCAAGACGCACTAACCCAAGATCTCCAAGACCTGATGATATAGGAAGTGGGGCTTTAGCAGCTGATGCTACAGGACGTGTTTCTCCACGAAGGGGCACTCCAAGATCTACTCCAACACCCCATGCCCCAGGACGTGGTACTCCAAGACCCGATACCACAACACCCCGTACCCCAGGACGTGGCAGCCCAAGACCAGATCCAGTACAGCAGAATGATCGGCTCATAGTAAGAGCTACTCCTCTTCGTCAATCGGATCAATATCGTGGCTGAGTGCGAGGAGCTTATTATATAACAATGGACAACATGGAACTATCACAAATAAAGTAGCTATAATATAGCATGTAGTTGAACGTATAAAACAGTTGTTGAACAGTGTTGTCTGTATAAATGATGACTTGTATTATCATTGATTGGTGTTTAGAACGACAAGTGAGTGGTCATGTGCTACCTCCACAGTTGTCTGAACCACCGTGACCGCCACACGCCAAGCAGGACCAACAGAAGACCATAGGCCACCACACAGACCAAAAACCAGTGGCTACGTATCCAACTGGACGAGCTTCGCCTGCAGAGAAACAACAACACACACACTAGCGTTCGTGGGGATTTGAGTAGATAACTAATGTCTCCTCGTGACGTTGTGTGCTAGTGTGACTACAGCTCCGAGCTTTTAGAGTCATTTTGTAAGTATTCTCTGGGAACCTTACAATTCAATTTTCTCACTCCCACGTTCTCCAATATGACGTAGATAGAAAATACCTAGGTTGCTGGGTGAAAAACAGGAGGTGACTGATGCGAACTAACTCGTCATTCGTCACCACAAAATATCTGTCAGGAATGGAGTGCTGGAGACTGGGTTCACAAACCCCGGGACCAGGCACCTGGGAGGGAACAGGTCAGACAGAACAAAACAACAGAGCAGCTAGTGGGTGGATGCGTTCATGGCCTATGGATCGCGACACCCGCCTCTCTCCCG